TTGAACGTGGGGCGCCAGCGATGTCTGCTGGAGACTTGGCTCTGGCTTTTGCACGCTTTCCTCACTGACGGCCTCTGTGAGCCCCACGGCCACCCTGGTGGGCCTCTGTGCGTGGGGTAAGGACTGAACCTTGGATGGTAACACGAGCTGGCTCCCGCTGCCCCACAAATAGCCGCAGGCCTGCCCCGAGTGCAGGTCCAAATATAGACCCGCCGGCTGTCTTGTCACTTCTTCACTGCTCAAGTGTCGCTGGGAAGGGGTCACATGCTGTTCCTGGAGTTACTGCATTCACTGTGGGGATGTTGAGATATGGGTCTCAGCCGTGGGACTGAGATGGCTGGTCCCAGGGGGCTGAGGCTGTCCTAGCCCAGCCCGAAGGGAGGGCTGCAGAGCCTCATGGGGCTTTGCCTGCCCACAACGCTCTGATCCAGTGCCATGCTGGAAGCCACTGAGTGCCGCCTTATTACAGTTTTCTCCTATCATTGGCTTTAAGTGAGCTTGATGTTGGGATCACTCTGGCGCCTGGATGGAATTCCAGCAGAGTCCACCACTCTCTGCTCCCTCAGAGGGAAGGCACTGTCTGGGAGTCAACACTTGAAGTCCCAGTCTCAGACTTACACACTGAATGTCTGGTTCTAAAGGTGCATGAGGGCTCGGTGCGGTGGCCTAGCAGCTAAAGTCCTCGCCTTGAATGTACTGGGATCCCATATGAGCGCCTGTTCTAATCCCAACAGCCCACCTTCTCATCCAGCTCCTTGCTTGTGGCCTGGGAAAGCAGTCGAGGACAGCTCAAAGCCTTGGGACCCTGTATCCGTGTGGGAGACCTGGAAGAGGCTTCTAGCTCCTGGCTCCTAGCTTGAGATCGGCGCAGCACCGGCTGTTGTGGTCACTTGGGGAGTGAATCATCAGACGGAAGATCTTCCTCTCTGTCTCTCTTCCTCTCTATATATTTGACTTTGCTATAAAAACAAAACAAACAAACAAACAAACAAACAAACAAAACCAAAAGGTGCACGTAAAGCCAAACACAGAGGCCGGTAACCTGTGACGTGAACATCCCTTAGGGACACTGGTTCAAGTCCCAGTTACTCTGCTTCCTATCCAGTTCCCTGCTAATGGCCCCAAAAAAGCAGTAGAAGTCGGTCCCAGTCCTTGGGCCCCTGCACCCACATAGGAAGCCTCGAAGCAGCTCCTGGTTTTAGATTGGCTCAGCTCTGGCTAGTGTGGCCATCTGGGGAGTAAACAAGCAGATGAAGATCTTGCTCCATGTCCTTCCTTCTCGCTGTAGTTTTGCCTTTCAAATGAAAATAAACAAATCATAAACATAAAGTGCCAAACCAGTCAACATCTACCCTCTGCATAGCAAGGTCTAAATTAATAAGGTGACTCCTAGCTCAGCAGATCCCACTGTTGTGACAACTTGGGGTCCTCAGGGGTCTGGGAGATGCTTGCATCTGCTCTCTCTCTCCTTCCCTCCTGCACCATCTCTGGAGATGCACCATGCAGACATCTCCCCTGATGTTCTGCTAGATGCTGCTGGACCCCTCCAAGTTCTCTCAAATGAGGTCCCCTCTGACATGCAAGTGGCTTTCTTGGGCAGAACCTAGGTGAGCCCTTGCTGTTCCCGGTAACCTACACTGGATCCTGGAAAGCGGTCTCCACTGGACATGGTCCTAATGCAGCCATGCCACCAACATAAACCACCCTTGGGTTCCAGGCCATTGCTCTCCAGCAGGACAAGCAGCCAGCTCCCTGCAGGGGCCCATGGAAGACTCTCCCTGAGTTTGGCAGTGGACAGTGGCATGGCTAACCCAGCCAGCCAACAGCTCACCCCAGAGAAAATGCTCCAGCAGTCTGCTTCTCCAACATCCCCTATTATTTCTCCTCTGATCACCATCCCATTTTCATTTTATTCATTCAGCTGAGAGATCTAACAAGCATGACTCCAGTCTGGTCCATTTGAAAGTCTCTGTGCGGGAACTCGATTCTGGGATTTTATGTTTATTGCTCTGGGAATTTTTTTTTTAAAAAGAGATTTATTTATTTATTTTTATTGGAAAGTAATATATACAGAGAGGAGGAGAGACAGAGAGGAAGCCAATCTGGAGTCAGGAGCCAGAAGCTTCCTCCGGGTCTCCCACACAAGTGCAGGGTCCCAAGGCTTTGGGCTATCCTCAACTGCTTTCCCAGGCCACAAGCAGGGAGCTGGATGGGAAGTAGGGCTGCCACAACACGAACTGGTGCCCCTATGGGATCCCAGTGCATTCAAGCTGAGGACTTTAGCTACTAGGCTATCATGCCAGGCTGGGGGATACTTTTAAAAGTACTGTTACTAAGGCCAGCAAGGTGGCATAGCAAGCTAAGCCTTTGTCTGCTACAGAAGAGTGCTAGTTTAAGTCCTGGCTGTTCCATCTCCCATCCAGCTCCCTGCTTACAGCCTGGGAAAGCAGTAAAAGATGGCTCAAGCCTTTGGGCCCCTGCACCTATGTGGAAATCCTGTAAGAAGCTCCTAGCTTTTGGTTCCTTGCTTCAGATTGGCTCAGCTCTGGCCATTGTGGCCATTCAGGGAGTAAGCCAGTAGATGGAAGATCTCTCTCTTTCTCTCTTTCTCTTTCTGTGTAACTCCACCTTCCAGATAAAAATTAAAATATATCTTTTAAAAAGCAAAAAGCAAGTACTACAAAAGAACCATGAAGTCATGCATTCTTCAGTTTGGTGAATATTTTTCCAAAGACTATACAGACATAACACTCCTCACACATACACAAAATAGAAATCACTTTTATAAGTATAAAAACTGACAAATTACAATTTTTGAAAAATAATAATAAATTGTGCAATGAATAATAAAGCTATGAGAAAAAATAACAGTTTAAACAAATACAGTAAAAGGACAGATAGTGAAGAAAATACAAAAAGTTATTTGAAAAAGGCTATTTAAAGAGTTATGAGTCATTTGAGCTTAAAGAATCTGGTTATGAGAAAAGAAAACCATTCTGAAAGACAACAAGGCTAGTCAAAAGGTTTGGGAAAAAGTTGAGTGAAAGATAAGTTGAAGGGAGATGGCTAGAATTGTGGTGCAGCTGATTAAGCGACTGCTTGTGACACCAACATCCCATAATAGTCCTGGCTGCTCCACTTCCCATCCAGCTCCCTGCTAATGCACCTGGGAAAGCAGTGGAGGATGGACCAAGTGCTTGGGCCCCTGCACCCATGGGGAGACCTGGATGGGGATCCCGGTTCCTGACCTGGGCCTGGCTCAGCTCTAGTTATTAGTCTTTTGCAAAGTGAATCAGCAGATGGAAGATTCTCTCTATCATTCTGCCTTTCAAATATATATGTATATGTATATTTTAGTATATTTGGGTGAAACGTTTTGACATTCATGTAGCTTTCTCATCACATGTGTTTCATGAACTTTTTGAGGATCCCCGTTATGGATGAATTCCAAAAATGTTTTTGCACCAACATAAACTTACTATTCCATTTGATTTTCCCACAAACTTAAAGAGGACTTTCTGGAGCTCCCTCCCATTTCTTGGTGTCTGAAGGCAGCGGTTGGAAGGGCCGGACCCCCACCATGCCCGCACCCCCTGCTCCCTGTCCAGCCCCTTTCCCAACTAAAGAAAAAAAATCTGCACCCAAATAGACGTTCAGGTTGGGAGTGTGGCAGAGGTTCCTTGCTGGCAGCTTGCGGCCTTCATCGTGGCCTCGTCCTGGCTCTGGCCTTGGGGAAACCAGCCAAGGCAAGCGTGACTCCAGGCTCCCCCAGCTCCAACCTTTAAGAGATCCCTTGGGCAGGTACCTTAACTCCGCCACCGCCTCCATCCTCTGGGCACCCACAGGTCAGCTTCCACAGCTCAGCCTCCACAGGTGGGAGCTGACCTCAGCTCCGTTCTCAGTCCACCTGACACGTACCCAGGGGTAGTGCCGCCTCCTTTCCTCTGTCTTCCCCTGGATTTCCTCCTGACTCCTTTGCCAGGTATATTTGTTTAGCATCAAAATGCAGAGCTCCAACCCAGACTGTGTTGAAACTGGCTGGCCAGGAGCGGGTTGGGGGTAGGGAGTGTGTGTGTGCACACGTCTGTGGGAGGAACTTGAGAACCCCAGTGTATTTCTCCTGTCCCCACTCTAACCCCATATCCTGGTCTGCCACAGATATTCCATAAAAGCTCGTCGAGTTGACAAAGAGATGGTTCCTAGCCATCAGAGAGACCCTGAGGAAATTCCAAATGAGCCACCAGCACATTTGGGACATTCTTGGGGGTGGGGGCTTGCGCAGGAGCCCCATATTCAACAGGGTCCGGAGGATAGTGTTACTGGATAATCAGGTCCTGGCTTCTCCAGGCTGGACAGCCAATCCCGCAGAGAGTTGGTTTATTTCAAGAAGCCAGCAGCAGGTGGTTGGCTAGTCCCAGCTGCTCTCCTTCCCATCCAGCTCCTCACTACTGCCCCGAGAGAGCAGCGGATGATGTACCCCCAGGGCTTGGTCCCTCGGGACCAGGTGGGAGACCCAGACAGAACTCTCTGCTCCTGGTTCAGCCCCAGCCATTGTGGCCAGTTGGGGAACAGAGATCTGTCACTCTACTCAAATCTTTTTTTTTTTTTAAGTGAGTCTTTATAATGGTTACAGTGCAAGATGGGAAGGCGTAGCGCACAAGGCTAAGACAGCAACCCGTCCATTTCACACATACTTTCCCACCGCCCACGGGTACAAGGATACAGAGGGTGAGGCCAGAGCCGGACTGCCCAGGGTCAAGGGGCAGGTGGCGAGCAGCAGTCACAAGCCTGTGGGCGGGGCCCGAGCGGCCCTTCCGAGCAGTTGACTGGTCCTTGCGGACCCGCCCTTCTGCCCTTCTGCCAATCGCGGGCGCCCACCGGCAAGCGTGCCGAGCAGAGCCCGCCAATGAGAAGAGCCGAGGGGGGCGGGCGCTGCGTTGTTGACGCGAGCCGGGCTGGGGCGGACCGAGTGGGCCCCGGCCCGTCGGGGCGCGCAGGCCATGGCGGAGGAGCAGCCCGACAGCCTGGAGGGCTGGGTGCCGCTCCGCGAGGACCTGTTCGCCGGACCCGAGCGGCACCAGCTGCGCTTCCTCGTGGCCTGGAACGCCGCGGAGGGCAAGTTCGCCGTGACCTGTCACGACCGCACGGCGCAGCGGCAGTGGCGGCGGCGGCGCCCCGAGGAGAGCCGGCCGGAGCCAGCCGAGGCCGCGGCGAGGCCCTCGCCCAGCTGGGCCGGCCTGCTGTCGGCAGCCGGGCTCCGCGGCGCGCACCGGCAGCTGGCGGCGCTCTGGCCGCCCCTGGAGCGCTGCTTCCCGCGGCTGCCGCCCGAGCTGGACGCGGACGGCGACGCCGGCGCCTGGGGCCTGGGGCTCGGGCTGTGGGCGCTGCTGTGGCCGGCGCGCGCTGGCCCCGGCGACGAGGCGGCGCTGCACGAGCTGTGCGGCCAGCTGGAGCGCTACCTGGGCGCGGCGGCCGACGGCTGCGGCGGGGCCACGGTGCGCGACGCGCTCTTCCCGGCCGAGGCCCCCGCGGCCGACTGCGAGGGCACGCGCGAGTTCCGGGAGCGCACGCTGCGCGCGCGGTGGGCCGGGGCGAGCGCGCGGCTGCGCCAGGTACGGCCCTGGGGGCGCGCGGGCAGGGACGGGCGCAGGTGCACCTAGAGCCTGGCCCAGGAGACGCTGGACTGTTGGGAGCTAGGCTAGGCGCTTAGCTGTTACCCCTTGCAGGTAGTAGCCAAGCCAGGGAGGTTGGTAGCCGGAAGTGCCAGAAATACCGAAAGTAGAACTGAAGATGAACTCTTTCCCTGTAGGGATTCCTAGCCCCACACTTAGCAGAGGCAATTCCAGGTGGTGCGAGTTGTAAGGTCGATGGAGGAATGGAGACACATGTTGGTTTCCTGCCCTAGGATGAAGAATGGCCTTTAGTGTGAACTGGTTTTTGCTTTTAAGTAAGAAAAACTTGGCCTATGGATAAAACCTGGTGAAGTGAGTTTTTTTTTTTTTTAAGATTTATTTATTTATTGGAAAGTCAGATATACAGAGAGGAAGAGAGACAGAGAGGAAGATCTTCCGTCCGATGATTCACTCCCGAAGTGCCGATCCCAAGCCAGGATCCAGGAACTTCTTCCAGGTCTCCCACGCGAGTGTAGGGTCCCAAAGCTTTGGGCCGTCCTCGACTGCTTTCCCAGGCCACAAGCAGGGAGCTGGATGAGAAGTGGAGCTGCTGGGATTAGAACCGGTGCCCATATGGGATCCTGGCGCGTTCAAGGTGAGGACTTTAGCCACTAGGCCACACCGCCGGGCCCAGGAAGTGAGCTTTATGCAACGACTGGGAGTAACAATGGCAGGAGCTTTGAGAGAGTTGGTGAGACTGAACAATTCAGGAGAAGCTAAGGGAAGGGAGAACTACAGTTATCTACAGCTTACTAGGAAAGAGCCACCATGTCCTGTGTTCTATACCCCAGACGTGTCCTCGCACTATTTTTAATTTAAGACTTATTTCTTTATTCAAAAGGCGGAGTGATAGGGAGAGAGAACCATCCCGTGCTTTATTCCCCTGGTGGCCGCAACCACAGAGACTGCCAGGCCGGGCCAAAAAGCCAGGAGACTCCATGCTGTTCTCCCTGTGACGCAGACCCATGGACTTGGAACATCTTGCATTGCTTTTCCCAGGCCATTAGCAGGGTTAGGAACCTGTGTCCATATGTGATGCCGGGATCCCAGGAGGCGGCTTAACCCGCAGAGCCACCTCTTGTTATGGACTGTTATTCATTGCAGTGATTTCTCTGAGCTTTCTGCTGAGGAAGCATAGGAGTGTAATTCAGCTTCCTTTCCAAGGCTCAGTTATATCCTCCAAAGCTGAGTGTGGAGTGACTGAAAATGGCTTTATAAAGCAGTTGGTTGGTGCTGTGGTTTGATGCTGTGTATCTTCTGGGTAAAGATCTGAATGCTTGGAGTGTGTTGATTTTGCTTGGTGATAGGAGGAGACCACTTCTTTTTTTTTTTTAAGATTTATTCATTTTTTATTTTTTTTATTGGAAAGGCGGATATACAGAGAGGAGAGACAGACAGGAAGATCTTCCGTCCAATGATTCACTGCCCAAGTGAGCGCAACGGCCGAGGCTATGCCGATCTGAAGCCAGGAGCCTCTCCCGGGTCTCCATGCGGGTGCAGGGTCCCAAGGCTTTGGGCCGTCCTCTACTGTATTCCCGGGCCACAGGCAGGGAGCTGGAAGGGAAGCGGGGCTGCCAGGATTAGAACCGGCGCCCATATGGGATCCTGGGCGTGCAAGGCGAGGACCTTAACCACTGCGCCACCGCACCGGGCCCGGAAGAGATCACTTCTAAACATTTGTTTTTGAACATTGGTTTCTCATTGAGAGAGGAGGTGTCTTCTTAAGCCCCAGGACGGGTGCACTTCCTGTGGGAGAAGTTAGGCCTGCTCACTTGAAGAGCATTCAGAGCTGTGGCACCGTTAGGCTAGTCGGTGCCGCTCGCTGTCGCCTGGCTCAACAGGGCATGTGCTCTTCAGTGATGGAGGCAGACACCAGACCTAGGCCCTGGAATTGCGGATCTCAGCACTGTTACAATGGCCAGAAGAGGCCGTATCCTCGGATTAGATCGACTGCTAATACATAAAAGGAAGCTGAATATTTTTGTCCTGTACTTTTTCTGAATAGTCTCAGAAATAAGGTAGAAAAGTATCCATTGTTTTAAGTTATTAATTTGTGTGTGGTTTAATTTTGTTCAGGGAATCCTTTACTTTAAGCAAAAATATTATTATTGCCTTAATGAAACTGTGGCCGAAAATAGGTCACTTCATCCTTAAGTAGAAAGATGGGACTAGAATAAAAATGATTTTTTTTTGAGAAAAGTTTCTATATTGTTGCTTGATTTTTAGTTTTCCCAATTGTAATTTCTTGACAAATGAGTTTCTGTAGGTTATAAACCACTCAATTTTCCAGTTTTTTTTTTATGATCTTTATTTCTTTTTTAAAGATTTGTTTATTTGTTTGGAAGAATTAGAGAATAAGACCTTCTGTCTACTGGTTCACTTCCCAAATGGCCACAATAACCAGAACTGGGCCGGTCCAAAGCCAGAAACTCCATCCCCATGGTGCACATGGATGACAAGGGCCCAAGCCCTTGGGCCGTCTTCTGTTGTTTTCCTCCAGTGCATTAGCAGGGAGCTGGACAGCAAGTGGAGCAGCTGGGACTTGAACCGGCGCCTAGATGGGGTGCTGGTGCTGCAGTTGGTGGCCTTATATGTTAGGCTGTAGCACCGGCCCCTCAGCTTAGTCTCTGCCCTGGAGCAGAAGCAGGGCTCAGCAGGGCTAGAGCCTCAGCTAAGACCCTTCAGTACGCCTGCTCGGCTGGCCTGGGGAACTCAGGGAGCTGGTGTGCTGGAGAAGTACCTGGAGACATCTCCACAATGCCTTGCTGGGCTTTGAAGCATGCAGATAACACCTCCTGAAAGCTCTCCAGCTGGAACAGCCATGTGAAAAACTGTCAGCCACAGTCTGCCACTGAGAAACACCCTTCTCCATGGCTTTCAGGGATCTGTGATGCGGGCAAAAGCAAATGCTGCACTCTGCTTTCTGCCGCGTTTAATGGTGTGAAAGTCCCCACGTTAGTAACGAGTCTTCCAAAGCACAGTGCTGTATGGCCACGGTACTACAGCTGGACCGTATGTTATCTAGTCAGTCTTATGTTTTTGTTGTTGTTGTTTTGCTTTGTTTTTAATTTGAGAGGCAGAGAGAGGCAGGCAGGCAGGGAGCCGGTGGGCAGCCAGGTCATTCTCCAAATGACCTACATGGGCTGCAGCTCAGCCAGGGGCTGCGAGCCAGGAATGCAGTTGAGGTCTCCCAGGGGGGTGCAGGAACCCAGTTTCTTGAGCCATCCCTGCTGCCTCCCAGGGTGGACGCTGGCAGGAACCTGGAGTCAGGAGCCTGAGCTGCGGATTGAACCTGGGTGAGCTAGGCCCATGTCCTGGAGAACAGTTTTTCAATATTTAATCAGTATTGAAAATTGATGTGTTCAAGTTGAGACCATGGAGGTTGCTTTTCTTTGGTAAGTCTGATCTTAGCAATACGGGCCCGAGCTTTCTCCACATTTTGCCTTCCAGATTCTCCAAGGACATGAAGAAGCCAACACCATGGTAGCATTAATGAAGGTTTACCAGGAAGAAGATGAAGCATACCAGGAGCTGGTCACGGTGGCAACCACGTTCTTCCAGTACTTGCTGCAGCCATTCAGGGACATGCGAGAAGTTGCAACTTCATGTAAGCTTGAAATTTTGGTATGTTGTCGATCTATTTAATTTTATTGGTTTAAGGGTCAATCCATATGTCCACGCTTATGCTTACATGATATTATTCGAAATAGTACATTTATATATTTTTTGTTCTTTAAAATATTTATTTATTTGAAAGACAAGGTCACAGAAGAGAGAGTGAATGAGAGAGAGCAATTAGACCATCTGCTGCTTCCCAGGCACCTTGGTAGGAACCTGGATTGGAAGGGGAGCAGCCAGGACTTGAACCATATAGGATGCTAGTATTGGAGGCAGCAGCTTCCCTTGTTATGCCACAGTGCCAGCCCCTAAATTTATATTTAACATTGAAAAAAGCAAGACACTTATATAGGTCATCTTTAAAAAAAAATGTTTATTTTTATTGGAAAGTCAGATGTACAGAGAGGAGGAGAGACAGAGAGGAAGATCTTCCATCAGATGGTTCACTCCCCAAGTGACTGCAATGGCCAGAGCTGTGTCGATCCGAAGCCAGGACCTAGGAGTTTCTTCCAGGTCTTCTGTGAGGGTGCAGGGTCCCAAGGCTTTGGGCCGTCCTCAACTGCTTTCCCAGGCCACAAGCAGGGAGCTGGATGGGAAGTGGGGCCTCTGGCATTAGAACCGGCGCCCATTTAGTATCCTGGCATGTTCAAGTCAAGGACTCTAGCTACTAGGCTATCATGCCAGGCCTCCTGTATAGGTCATCTTAATACCTTCAGATTTCTGCACATTTTTGGAAAATGTGCAGAAATTTTATTTGAAAGCCAGAATGACACACAGAGAAAATGGTCTCCCTTCTATACATTGGTGTATTCCCCAAAGGTTGCAGTGGTCAGGGCTGGACCAGGCTGAAGCCAGGAGCCCAGACTCCATCAAGGTTTCTTAAGTTAGCGTGTGACCGGGGCTCAAGCACTCAGGCTGCCCTCTGATGCCTTTCCAAGTGCATTAGTAGGAAACTGGATCGGAAGCAGGGACTTGAGCCGGTATTCTCTAACGGGGTGCTGGTGTCAAAGGCAGTGGCTTAACGTGCTGCACCACAATGCCATCCCCAGATCTCTGCACATTGGAAAGGGTATAGAAGCACCTTTTCACCTCATGAATAGATTCTGATGGGATGTTTATTTGTTTCAAAGATCACAGATTTCTCAGAAAATTTAGACAGCAGAACCCTAGTTTGTAATTTAGTAATCTAAGATACACAGGCATCATTCTTATTTCGTAACACTAGTTAGAAAAGGCGTCAATGTTATCCTGATGTGTCAGATTAATGCAGTTCCCCCAAGGAGTTAAACAACTTGCTGTGTGTCTCAATAGCAGCTGGAAGTGGATGACATCAGAGAGGATTCTCGATTGGCTGTCCTTTCACACCTCCTCACACAGCCCCTGTTAAGGGTGATGGTAGGGAGACTGTCCCTGTGGTTGACATGCCAGTGTGGCTGTGGATGGAGCTGTTCTGTTTGCTCTTGAACGTCTGTTCTTGGGAGAGCCTTCACTTCCTGTGTGGGTTTTTATTCCCCTCTCTCTAAACAGAAGTGTGATTTCCGGATCATACCCCGACGGCGTATGATGTCATGGTGTTCTAGGGTTTGCAGACTTTGTATTAACCGTCCCCCCGTCTAATTCCAGAATGCTTGGCCCCCAGTAGAAACCCCTGACCCTCAGAAGTGTCTTCCCTGCTCCCCCACAGCTCCAAGCTAGGCAGCCATCACTCCTTTTCTGCCTGCCCTCGACCTGGCTGTCCAGGACCGCTTTTTACATTAATGGGATCAGAGGACAGGTGCTCTGGTGACTGACTACAGGTCACCCACCTGTAGCATGGGTAGGATTTCATTTCTTTCTATTGACAAATAATGTTCATCATATATAGATATACCATCTTTTTCTCATCTCTCCCTAGACTTTTGAGTAGTTTCCACACTTATTATTTTTTTTTCTTTATTTTTGACAATCTTTACACAGTTGATTGGGCCACAAAGGGTCAAGGGCTACAGGAAGGTGGGTAAGACTATTGTTTTCACATTATTGCTTTCTTTTTGTATCTGGGATAAAGGGGGAGATAAAGGAAGAAGCCCTACCCAGCCTCCCACCCATCCCAGGTCCCCGATGTGGGGCATGCTCCAAGGGTCCTGCTCAAGTGGTTTTGATAATTCAACAGTTCTGAATTACTGCCATTCTTGCCACTCCAAGCACGATAAAATTGCTGTAGAATCCACTGGTTGAAACAATCCACCTTAGAGTTTCCCTTTGCCCAGATTTTCTCTGCCAACACATGGCTGGGGTAGTTGATTGATTTGTTCTGTCCTCTGTTGTGGTGCCAGGTTCCAATGGACTGCCATATCCTCCATGTGTACCTGGTTCTGCTCTCCATTGCTCCATCTGAGCCTTTGAGGAGGCTCGGCTCTGACACTTGCACTCCATGGTTAGACCATGGAACCTGCACTTCTCTTCATGGTTAGGGTTCTGAGTCCGGCAGTTCAAATTGGGGAGATCCCCAAAGAAACTTAGTCTGAGGTGATCCCAGACCAGATTCTTGTGTGTACTTGCCAGTACAGGGCCCGGCACAGTCCATTGCCCCAATCAGCTGGTGGTTGCAATTGCTGGGTTGATTCTGTTTCCAGCCCTGTCTTCCACATGAACCAATGGGTGTTGCAGTCCAGCCTGATTCTGCCCATCACACACTCGGTCCTCACACAAACCAGTGGGAACTGCAGCCTAGTCGAAGTGACCCACAATAACCCCTACCAGGCCCACCCCCTGCCCTGGTTCCCGTGCTTGGCCGTATATACTGCAGACTAGTCCAGTCTGTCTCACATCCCATTCAGCTCTTCTACATGTCAAGGGGCATTGTGAAGCTTTATTCCATCTAACCAGCTCAACTAACCAGCCCACACACATGCTGTTGAGTGCCTTTCTGTCTAGCCACCGCAGCCCCAGTCCTGGTTTTCACGCTTTCCAGTGGGAGTGGTAACCCAAGAAGGAGGTTCCACACATTGTTATTAGGAAAATATTGCTGTGAACATCTGTGTATCTTTTTCTTTTTTTTTTTTTTAAGATATGATTTGATGGGGCCAGCATTGTGGCTCAGTGTGTTAACCCAATGCCTGCCAATGCTGATGTTTCCTGTGAGATACTGGTTTGAGTTCCAGCTGCTCCTTCTCTGACCCAGCTCCCTGTTAATGTGCTTGGGAGAGCAGCAGAGGGTAGTCCACGTACTTGGGCCCCTGCCACCCACATGAGAGATTTAGGATTCCTGGCTTCAGCTTGGACATGCCTGAGCTCTTGTGGTCGTTGGGGAACAAACCAGAAGATGGAAGATCGATCTCTCTCAAATTGCTTTTTAAAGACTTGGATAAATGAAGATTTATTTATTTGAAAGAGTGACAGAGAAGGAGAGTAATGGATTGGTATGAAAAGAGAAAGAGTGAGAGACACAGGGACTGGAAGTGGAGCAGCGAGTGCCGCAGGGGATGCTAACATGGCAGGTGTCAGCTCAGCCCGTGGTACCACGACACCGGTCCCCCTGAGTGCCCATTGCCAGGCAGACAGGTTATGTGCTCTCATGGGGGGTGGAACTGCTGAGTCATACACAGCTCTGAAGAGTCCAAAGAACTGCTGGATGGCTTCCAGAACATGTTCACTCATTCACGCCCTCACCAGCAGTGAGGGAGGGCTGCGGTTGGCGCATGTCTTGGCTGACCTTTGTTGCTATCTTCCTTACCATAATCAGCCTGGTGGGCATCAAGTGATGTCTCCCTGGAGTTCTGGTTTGCATTTCCTTGTGCCTACTTCTCATGTTATCAAGCCACGCCTTCTAGAAGGAGAACCAGGTGCCGGCTGTAATTGTGGTACCTGTCATAATTCAGGCTCTCCTAACATTTTGCTGTAGGTCGAGTGACTCAGAATCAGTAAGACATTTTTCTCACAGTCCTAGAGACAGGGAACCCACATTCAGGGGGCCAGCAGATGTGCTGTTTGGTGAGGGCTGCTTCCTGGTCTGTAGATGGAGCTTGCCATGATGAGCAGGTGGATGGTAGAGCCTGTGTCTCCTTTCTAGAAGGGCATCATACCCCACCTGCCATGACAGTTCCAACCTGTCACCCAGTTACCCTCAGAGACCCTGTCGCTGAATTCCACTCCACTGGGAGGACACAGTGGGCAGTCCGTTTGCAAAATGTCATAATTGTGAATATGTAGGATTTTTTTTTTTCCTATCTTGTCGCCCAAAGAAATCCCAGAAAACAGCTTGGTACCAGACTTGATGCTCTCAGTTCAGCAGTCTTGTGCTGTTATTGACAGGTAGAAATGACCCAGCATTTCTATCAGGAAAAGTTATTCTAGAAATACAAACAGAAAGTTGTTTTGTTTTTCTTTAGGGCCCACAGTATATCCCCTTTTCCTCCCGAGGCAGTGCCTGGCTTAGAGCCAAATTCCTATACTCCATAAGGGATTGCTGATGAATAAACATTTAATTCATCAGTCTCAGTAATAAAGGCAGTTCAGGCCACACCTGCTCCCAGCTTCTTTCTGGTTTCCCAGCAGCTCTCTCAGCACTGTGCTCTCTGCCTAAGCCCGTTTTCCCTTCTTTCCGTGTAGAAGTCTCTGGCTGAGGATGAGCTGGGTCCCAAAAGGGTAGCAGCCCTGCAGAAGGAAGCCCAGGAATGGGCCCGGCAGGCAGAAGACGCTGTCGCCTCCATTCAGGATATCACGGTGAATTATTTCAAGGAGACAGTGGCAGCGCTAGCAGGTGAATCCAAGGGGCCGTCCGCGATGGGCCTGAGCGATGCCTCAGCTGTGTTTTCTGCGGGCAGGGACTTCAGAAGAAGGAGGCACAGAGGTAGACCCTGGGGGGCCAGGGTGAGAGACTTCATTCTGCATTGGTCCAGCTCACAGAGGATGGCCTTGGGCAGTGGTGACCAGAGGGAGGTGAACAGCAGAGTCTGAGCACCTTTGAGGAGTGGGCTTGCCCTGAAGTCTCAAGAGCAAGGGGAAGTGGGATTGGCGGAAGGTGGGGAGAGAAGGGGCGGCATTTACAGGAGGGGCTGGCTGCCCAAGGGCTGGATCGCAGCTTGCAGGAGATTGTGGCTATGGGGGAGAAGGCTGGCAAGAGGGTTGGGCTTTGGCTGTGTGGGGCTTCTGCAGGCTGTGCTCTAGGGTGTTAGAGCAGCTGCCCCTGCTAGGTGGTATCATGGTTTTATTATTGTCCCTTTCTAAGTGGAGTACCTAAAATTTTATTATAGTATATTAATGACCAAGTATTACTTTTGTGGTGGTTAAAAGTTATTAAAACAGTTTTTATATTAAGAAAAAGATGTTTTGCAAGTAGCATGACAAGCAGTAAGCCAAGGAGCAGCTTTCCCTAGTTGAATGAATCGTAATCCTATTTTATTGTATGAATTTTAACCCAACAGGAATGCAGAGGCAAATGGAGCAGGATAGGAAGAGGTTTGGCCAGGCTACCTGGGCCACAGCCACTCCCAGGTTAGAAAACCTCAAGCTGATGCTGGCCCGAGAGACTCTGCAACTCATGAGAGCCAAAGAGCTGTGTTTAAACCAGCAGAGAGCTGCCATTCAGGGGAAGGTAAGACCAGGAGGACGCCCGGGTGACTTGGCTTTAAGAATACGCTTACATTTTGAGACAGGCCCTGGCTTCCCAGGCACTGTGAGAATGCTTGCTTGCTTCTCTTTCTGCTGACTGTGGATAAGAAGCCAGAGCAGGAGGGCTACAGAGCTTCCTTCTGGTCAAGAGGCTTTGGAAATGCTATGTGCAGATGACTCATGCTGCAGACAGTATACTTCAGATCTACCCGGCCCTGTTATCTGTTATCTGTCCTCGTCCTGGGATCAGAGCCACTTCCCTTTGTTCCTGCAATCTTTCGACTCAAAGGCAGGAGCTGCCCTCAGTGCCCACCTCAGCTGGCTCTGGCTGCATCAACAGAACCCCAGAGATGAGCAGCTTAAACTGCTGCATTGCGAAGGCCCCACTTGTGGGAAGCCACTGACAGGCTGCTGTGGCAGGTGGTGAGGGCAGGCACCAGAGCAGGTGGGTAAATTGCTTTTGTGGGGGGCTCTGGGGAGCTTGGGGTTGCCCCAAAGCACCTCCCCTGCACATAATCAAAATCTGATGACCACCTTCAAATCCCACCACACTGGGGACGAGGAATTCAACAGGACACAGATAATTCAGTCCATTGCAACACCTCAATGCCATTTATTGTTCTGAAGACCTAAATGTCTTCATAAGTTTTGAGGATAAAACAGGATTTGAAACATGTTGAATAAAGCATTTTTGTCTGATTATATGAAACACAAAAATACTTCTTCCCCCTTTATATTGAGTACTGAGCAAAGAATAGAAAATAGCTAGAATGCTTCTAAAGTTTGCTTTTAACATGCTGATTATTTTGACTTACTCTCTTTTTTTCCCTCCATGAAAACAAGATAGAAGATCTTCCAGAACAAGGAAAAAATATAGATATTGTAGATGAATTGGAAATACAGTTTTATGAAATCCAGTTAGAACTCTTTGAGGTTAAACTTGAGATATTACAAAATGAAGAAATGCTGCTAACTACACAGTTGGACTCTATTAAAAGACTTATAAAAGGTAAGTTTAATATTTATGGGTTAAAAATGTTTCAGTTACACATACATTGATCACATTAGCAATTATTTCTTATAAATTATCTGTTTACATCTCCTGAGACTTCCCAAATAAAATTTCCCTTCAGTCTCTTTAGTATTCAAATAATATGATCATTGTTAAATACATGGCAAAACAAAGAAAAAAAAGTGACGTGAACCCAGTGCATTCATCATTGACAGTACGCAGTGTAATGTTTGAGTCTTATATGTCAGTGTAACTAAATAGCTATCAGATCTTTTAAGCCAAAATGATATGTCTTGTTCCACAACCTCTATTTCAGTTAATTTATAATAACCGTCTTTCTGTTTGAAGAGGTAGTGAAAGGCCCACCTTTTCATGGCTGCATAGTATTCTGATGCATGGATCTACTGTGTTGAACGGTGCACTGGTCAGTTTTCCTTACACGTGTCCATTTGTGTATGTGTGGGGGAGAGGACTAGAGAGATTATTTCCTTAGGATACATTTCTACACAAGGAACACTGGGTCGGGGACAATGCATATCTTACATCTTGAGCTATACCTATTAAACACAGCACTGAGATATGTATTTCCCCCTCATGATTTTCTGATTTCTAAATTGCACACTGCATCATGGCCCCGGTCTAGATTGTACGAGATAACCCGTGTCAGCAGAGTCTCGTGAGGGTAGATGTCTCCCCATCGCAGGCCCTCGTTCTGAGCGGTTGCCTACTCGACGGGGGAACAGATAACACATCTCCTTTCCGTGTGTTTACCCGCATGTGATGCTGTCACCAGCTGACCTGGCTGTGGGCTGTCACTGTCCTCCGGTAACTTGTGTGGCTCCTGGGGCTGCTCTAGCCTGGTTCCATGACCGTACTTAGAAGTACATGATGGTGCCGGCTCAGGCCAACACCTCCTCGGTCCCCCAGTTCTCCATAAGGTTGCTGACGCTCTCACCTCCTTTATTCTTCCAGATGAACTTTAGAGTCACTTGGGCAAGTTCAAAGCAAACCCCCAAACTCACTGGAACCTTGGTTGGGATTTTGCCTAAAATTAGAGGTTACTGTGGGGAGAATTATCGCCTTTGCAAATTTTGACTCTTCCCACCCAAGAATGTGGTATGTCTCTCCATTTATTGAAATCTTTTTCCCCCTCAAAGCTCCTTCAGGTCCAATAATTTCATCCACAGAGATCCTGAACATTTAGTTTAATCTCAATATTCAGAATTTTTTCAGTCATTTTAAGTTATACACTTTTAATATGCTAGGGAAAAACTATTTTTTAAAAAAGTTAATCTGGGCCCGGCACGGTAGCCTAGCGGCTAAAGTCCTCGCCTTGAATGTGCCAGGATCCCATTTGGGCGCCGGTTCTAATCCCAGCAGCCCCACTTCCCATCCAGCTCCCTGCTTGTGGCCTGAGAAGGCAGTCGAGGATAGCCCAAAGCCTGCACCCGTGTGGGAGACCTGGAGGATATTCCTGGCTCCTGGCTTGGGATTGGCACAGCACTGGCTGTTGTGGTCACTTGGGGAGTGAATCATCAGATGGAAGATTTTCCTCTCTGTCTCTCCTCCTCTTTGTATATCTGACTTTGTAATAAAAATAAAATAAATCTTTTTGAAAAAAAAGTTAATCTGAAAGGATGTACACCAAATGATTCATAGCATTTTCCTCTGGAAATAGGACTCAGAGGGTGTAAGGACGGAGGGCGAACATGTCATGCTTTGTTCTCAGGGTGTGGATTTGGTGCAGTAGCATGTACTTTAAAATCAGTGTGTAATGGAATTTAAATACCGTGAATGCACCTGTTGCTGTGAATGTTGATGATGCGCTGTCGGTTGGAATGAGCTTGTCCTTTTGGAAGGCAGAGTCAGCTAAGGAAGTGATAGAACTGACACGCAGACTGACTCCCCCCAGGACAGCTCATAGCAGCGAAGTGAGTGCAGGTGGAGTCCCGGGGCAGCTCCTCAGTGGGGGGACAACCTCGAATTAGGGAATACTGTGTCACCATTAAAATGGCACCTCCCTTCCCGGGCAGCCCCTCAGTGCAGAGGGTGTGGGGTGGGGCGGGGAATGTGCTCGGGTTAGGGAGTATGGGGATGCTGTCTCGGAACTCGGCTGATGGGACGGGAGCGTCGGCCCACACGTCTGAAAGCGCCAGCAGTGGCTTACCCTGGGAATGGCCCAACTACAAGTAACCCTCAGTTTGCTAGCATCCAAACATTTTTGTTTTGATGGTATTTTTTTTTTTTTTTTTTGGTAATAGAATGTCTTCCCTCAAAAAATCACTTGTTTATTTTTTTCTTTTTTAGAGAAAGAGAATGAAGTCATCTACTATGATCCGTGTGAAAACCCAGAGGAGCTGAGCATGGCAGAGCGGGCGGGGGCGCTGCAGGACGGGCAGAGCGCAGAGGTGCACCAGCTGAGCCAGCGGCAGAGGCAGCTGGAGGCGAGGCGGGGCAGCCTCTGTGCCCGAAGGGCCCGGCTCAGGAACCTGAAGGTGGGTGCTGTGGCATTGCACCTGAAGCTGCAGCTTGATGGGCTCCTCCCATTTCCAACTTACTTTGTTTCTTTTGGGACCCCAGCCTGGACCATAATCTCTAGGTTTTAATGAACTTACTCAACACTCAGTGTACAGAAGCTTTTAAAACCACAACACATGGAAATTCTAATAATCAACGGTAATAAACCTAAATCTATTTTATTGTGAATTGTTGATTATGAAAAATCAATCTTAGATATAATCCAGTTATTTTATATTTGAATGAATTTTTTCACTAAAAATTATATATATTTATGTAGTACCATGTGATGTTTCCATTTACATTGTATAATTTAAATTTTGAAAGCATATCTCCTTAAACATGTATAGTGAAGACAGAATCTTCTAATCCTCTTTTCTAAAGTTTTAGTGCGTTAGCTTTTTTTTTTTTTAAAGATTTATTTATTTTTTTATTTATTTTGGGAAAGTCAGATATACAAAGAGGAGGAGAGACAGAGAGGAAAGATCTTCTACCTGCTGATTCACTCCCCAAGTGCCCTTAACGGCTGGAGGTGAGTTGATCCCAAGCCAGGAGCCAGGAGCTTTGGGCCGAGGCTTTGGGCTATCCTCGACTACTTTCCCGAGCAGGGAGCTGGAAGGGAAGTGGTACAGCAAATTGCTGTATGGGATGCAAATTGTAGCTCAAATCGGATCCTGGCTTGCAAGGCGAGGACTGTAGCCACTAGGTTACCATGCTGGACCCAGCCTTATTTTTTCTAAAGATTTATTTATTTATTTATTTAACCTTTTCTATTTTTAATTATATTTTGATAATCTTTACACAGATAATTGGGCTAAAAAGGTTCAAGGGCTACAGGAAAGTGGATAAGACTATTTCCACATTGTTTCCTTCATGTATCTGAGGTGAAGGGGGATTTTAAGGGAGAAGCTCCACCCAGCCTCCCACCTACCCCAGGTTCCAGTGTGGGGCATGCTCTGAGGGTCCTGCTCAAATGGTTTTGATAGTTCAGTAGTTATGAATTGCTGTCAATCTCGCCACTCCAAGCACGATGAGGTCACTGTAAAGTCCACTGATTGACATAGTCCATTTTGAGTCTCTGTTTGCCCAGTTTTTCACTGCCAACATATGGCTGAGGTAGTTGACTGACTTATTCTGTTCTCCGTCTTTTCTTGGTTAGGGTTCTGAGTCCGGCAGTTCGACTGGGGAGATCCTAAAAGAAACTTTGTATGAGGTGTTCCCAGACCAGATTCTTCTATGTACTAGCAAGTACAGGCCCGGCACAGTCCATCGCCCCAATCAGCTGGTAGTTGCAATTGTTGGGTCAGTTCTGTTTCCAGCCCTGTCTTTCACACGAACCAATGGGTGTTGCAGTCCAGCCTGGTTCTGCCCATCACACACTCGGTCCTCACATAAACCAGTGGGAGCTGCAGCCTAGTCGAAGTGACCCACAATAACCCCCACCAGGCCCGCTCCCTACCCTGGTTTGCCAGTATGTGCCACAGACTAGTCCAGTCTGTCTCACATCCCATTCAGTTCTTCTACATGTCAAGGGGCATTGAAGCTTTGTTCCATTTAACCAGCTCCGCTATCCAGCCCACACACATGCTGTTGAGTGCCGTTCTGTCTAGCCACCGCAACCCCAGTCCTGGTTTTCTTGCCCTCCAGTGCGAGTGGTAACCCAAGAGGGAGGTGCCTACTATATCCCTTCTAGGCCACTCCCACTCATGGATTATGTACTCTCCAGGTGTTTCTGGAGTTTAACTTGACAGAATTAGCCCCCAGTGCCAACTTCTGCCAGCTGATGCTGCGGCAAAGCCCAACTAACCCTCACTCATTCTGGTTTATGCTTGTACCAGTAGGAACAGTCAGCCCAGCCTGGCTTTTCCCTGATCTAGCTCACATGAGGCCCACAGGTGTTGTAGCCCTGCCTAGTCTGGTCTGCCCCCATCCCAGCTGTCCAGCAGTGGAGCACCCCTATATTCCGTCCCCTCCCTTCCTGGTTCTCACGTGTGCTGGCTGGGCATTGCGGTCACATCCGGTACAGGTAACCTCACCTTGGCATTCCGTAATGTGCACTGGTTTTTAGTTGCAACCAAACCTGGCTCGACCCACACTCTATTCTGGTGCTCGGATTTGCCAGTAGATGATGTGAACTGATTCAGCCTGGTCTGTCCCCGACCCATGCCAAATGTATGCCAGTGGGAAACTTTCTATGGCCTGTTCTGGGCTGTTTCCTTTAATGCTTATTGCTTACCTGCCCGGTCTGTGTCCTGCCAGAGGAGTTGCCCAGGCTCCTCCATCAGAACCTCTCCCAATACCAGATTTTGCACATACCAGGGGGTCCATGAGCCAGCCTTACTCAGTTTACCTCCTGTCCTAGCAGGAACAGTGGCTTTTCTGGACTGGCTTTCAACACAATCTGGTTCTTACTGTTGGATGTTTCAGCCCAGCCAAGGCTCATCCATACTCAAACACAACTCACACACGGCTCAGTAGGGACTGAGACCTGCCTAGTCCATCCCACATCTACCCTGGTCCTCCAGAGCACCAGATGGTGTTGGAGTCTAGCCCGGCTTGGTGCGTCCAGTCCCAGGCCACACTTGTGCTAAGTCAGACTACACCTGTATCCTGATCAGAACACAGCCTCCATTCCAGCCCCGCGCTCCTTGGTGGGAACCTCAACCCAGCCAAGGTGCCCACTTAGCTCCCCAGCTGGGCCTGTTCGCAGTCATATATCGCATGCATGCCAGTGGTTGCTCTGACTCACCTTGGCACAGCCCTTCTCTTGTCCTGGCCCCTGCCTTAGATGCTGTGGCTTAGCGTCCCTGACTCACGCAGACCAGTAGATGTAAGAGCCTAGCTCGGCATGACCTGTGCTCCATCCTGATTTCTAATTTTGCTTGTGGGCTAAGGTTCGCTCAGTCCTGTCTGGTCCACCCCATTCCATTACCAACCCACACATTAGCCAGCCATTGGAGCTACTTTGCCCAGCTTGTCCGACCCCCAGATCTGGACCATGTATTTACCAGCGGGAGCTATGGCCCGCCAGGGGAGTTTCCCAAGTTCCTCCGCTTGACCCACTCCCAGGCCTACTTCTCATACATGCCAGTGGGTGTTGGGCCAGTGTCTGGCATAGTCTGGCCTTCCATGAGCTGGTGAACGTTGCAGCCCGGCCCACCCCACACCCTATTCAGGATGCACATTCAGGTGCTGCTGTCTTGACCAGCCCAGACTATTGTCGGTTCCTTTACCTGTGAGTGATGGCAGGCTCCTGGGTCACAACTAGCTTAGTCCATCACCACCCCAGCTCTTGAGCTAACCAGTGGGACTAGTATTTCCACAGGGTTTGGCCCACGCATCCCCCACAGAATCTACCCCTGGATATGCTTCTCTTGTGTGCTGGTTAGTGTCATGGCCTTGCCTAATGTGACCCGTCTCCTGATCCATCATTCATGTCAGGTAATAGGCTATGATCCTGCTAGACAAGCCTGGAGCCTTAGCTTTTGCATGGACTGTTTGGTGGTCATCATTGTTCTAAAGATTTATTTTTATTTTTATTGGAAAGACAGATTTACAGAGAGAAGACAAGTCAGACAGATCTTCCATCTACAGTTTAGGCCCCAAGTGGCTGCAGTGGCCATTTTGTGCTTTTCAACATACAAAATAAAGTTTTTTTTTTTTTTAATCCACTGCACTGTTTTGTACATATTAACCTTTAAAAAATTTTTTTTGGATCCAGGAAAATCATAGGTTCTTTTGTGGAGGACAAAGAACATTTATTACTCCTCTGTGCAAACAGATACATTTAAAAAGTTGCTTGAGTGTGTTGGGGTGTGGGTTTGGAGGCTGTTTCTTAGCTGACCTGAAGGGGCACACACACAGGAACTCCTTGAATCCCCTAGGCACCGGGGCCTGTGCATGGTCCTGGAGAAGTGTGGTGAGGTGAGGAAAGGTGCCCGCCGCCCTGGCACCTGCTTTCTGGTGCCAGGACTGGAAGTGTCAGCTTGCAGCCTCTGGGGGAAGTCGGAGGAGCTCCCACTGCCGAGTGCTGAAAGCTTAGCAACCTGGCAGGTCCCGAGCGACTGAGCCCGGGGGTTGGGGCGCTCGGCCACTTGGCAGTCACGTGATCTTAGGCTTATTCATTTATGTATTTGAAAGGTAGACTGACAGAGAAAGAGATCTTGTTTACTCCCCAAATGCCTGCAGTGGCCTGGGCTGGGCCAGCATGAAGCCAGGAGCCCAGAACTCCATCCGAGTCTCCCACATGCCTGGCAGAGGCTCAGATACTTGGGCCGTATTCTGCTGCTCTCCAGGCACCTAAGCAGGAAGCTGGGTCAGAAGTAGAGCCTTTAGGATTCCAGCTGGCAGTCTGATATCGGATGCCAGTGTTGCAGCTAGCAGCTTAACTGGCTGTGCCACTGCATCAGCCCCCTGAAGGAGGACCCTCACAGTAGTAGCAGATCTCTTGATTCTTACGAGGACAACATGGCATCGGTCACAGAAGGTGCCTGGCACACTCACTGCGTGGTAACCCTGTGTGCACACACATTAAGGGGCACACTGAGTGGCTAAGCACAGGTGAGATAATTTTTAACATCATTTTCCAGTGTTTGTAGGGAGTTGATCCTAGAGCAGGTACATTTGGGAATGTGGTTAAAATGAGCACATTGCAACAGGCTGAAAGCACCCACGCTGGGCAGAGTGAGGGTTGCCTGCCTGTCCTGTCAAGGTGGGTGTACTGCCCATCGCACACAGCTCTCGGCTGACTGCTAAATGGCCAGCCGCACAACAGTGGGTGGGGGCACCAGCACCACGGCCTCTGATGTCAGCATATGCCTGGAGCAAGAGCCCAAATGCAGTTGCTTTTTTTCTGTTAACCTGTGCTTCAGCCCCTGGTAATATTTAAAACCTTCTGGGTGATCTATATTCTCTCACCAGGACCGATGCAAGGAAAACCATCGGCTCAGATTGCAGCAGGCCGAAGCAAGTGAGAGATATGCCCGGCAGCACCACGGCATTCAGAAGGTGAGGGGCTCGGTGCCGTGTGGAAGGGCCCCCATCTCCCCTCAGGACTGGAACCCCCAGCTGTGGGTCCCACAGTGCCCGCTTCTTCTGCCTCCCAGCCTCCTGGGTCCCCAGCTGTTGCCACCTCCACCCCTCTCCCGCTTCTGCCCACAAATTCAGGGCACCTTTCTTTGCCCACAAATATAGGGTACCTTTCCTTGCCAAGATTTATCCGATGGTAATTTTGAGTGACTTACAAAGACATGTTTGTTTCAATATAGAAAAGAGACAAAATAAGAGAAGAGGAGCATAAGAAGAAAGAATGGATCAACCAGGAACGCCAAAAAACACTCCAGCGATTGAGAGCATTTAAGGAGGTGAGGTCGGGACGGAGTCACACTGCATGTGCTTGCTTGATTTCTTTTCTTTATTTTTAATTTTGAAAGAGTTCTAGAGAAGGAGAGACAGAAAGATCCCCCATCCCATTAGTTCCCAAATGGCCACAATGGCCAGAGCTGAACCAATCCAAAGCTGGGAGCTTCTTTTGGGTCTCCCACTTGGATGCAGGGGCCCAAGCACTTGGTCTGTCTTCTGCTGCTTTCCCAGGCATGTTGACAAGGAGCTGGATGGGAAGTGGGAACTGCTGGGACTTGAACTGGCACTCTTGTGGGATGCTGGCATCTCAGGTGGTAGCTTTACTCACGATGCCATAGCACTGTCTCCATCAGTCATCTTTTTTAAGAAGAAAAAAAAATGAGATGTTATGAACATGGAATGTTGCAGAAATACCATCGGATGTGGTATAGTAATAAAGGTCAACAAGAAGATCAGCACCTCAGAAAATGTGCTATGGGCCCGGCGTGATGGCCTAGTGGCTAAAGTCCTCACCTTAAACGTGCCAGGATCCCATATGGGCGCCGGTTCTAATCCCAGCAGCCCCACTTCCCATCCAGCTCCCTGCTTGTGGCCTGGGAAAGCAGTCGAGGACGGCCCAAAGCCTTGGGACCCTGCACCCGTGTGGGAGACCTGGAGGATATTCCTGGCTCCTGGCTTGGGATTGGCACAGCACTGGCTGTTGTGGTCACTTGGGGAGTGAATCATCAGATAGAGGGTCTTCCCCTCAGTCTCTCCTCCTCTCTGTATGTCTGACTTTGTAATAAAAATAAGTATTTAAAAAAACCCCCAAAATGTGCTGTAAAAGGTCATGGTTCCTAACATCACAACACGTCCACGTTCTTCCTTCCCCGCCTTCCTGAGTGGCACTGCCCACGCCCTCCATGGTTTAGACCAGCCAGGAAGACTGTGATGGCATCCCTGCTGCCCGCTTGAGCTGAGCTGGCTGTCTCCTGCACTTGTACTAAAGGGTCCCTCAGAACATGGACACTGAAGCACTGTGACCCAGTGTGACCCAGTGTCTGTTTGAAGTAAACGGGGCCAGCATTGTGGCACAGCCGGTTAAGCTGCTGACTGGGATGGCTGCATCCCATATGGGCACCATCTTGTGTCCTGGTTGCTCTCTTTGATCCAGCTCCCTGATAATGCACCTCAGAAAGCAGTGGAGGATGGTCCGAGTCTTGGGCCTCTGCACTCACGTGATCAGGATCCCTTCATCTGAACCAGAACTGAAAGGAGAAAATAAGGGCAGGCACCATGGCATAGTAGGCTAAACATCCTCCTGTGGCACCAGCATCCCATACAGGTGCCAGTTCGAGTCCCAGCTAATCCATTTTTGATCCAAATCCCTGCTTATGGCCTAGGAAGGCAGTAGAGGATGGCTCATGTCCTTGGGCCCCTGCATCCATATGGGAGATGTGGAGGAAGCTCCTGGCCCCTGGCTTCAGTCTGGCCCAGTCCTGGCCTTGCAGCCTTCTGAGGAGTGAACCAGGGGGGATCTCTCTGTCTCTGACTTGCTACTCTGCCCTTCAAGTAATCAAATAAGTCTTAATAGAAAAATCAAATAGGTTTTCTGAAAAGAAGTAAATAGGAACTTATGGAAAAGTATTACTGAATTCCTTGACTAGATGAGAACCTGGAACAGGCATTGGAAGGACGGAGGCTGAGGCCTCCAAGGGCAGAGAGCCACGCCTGCTCACGTGCCCTGTGCCATGGGCATTGTTTTGGACCCTGACCAGCAGGAGCTGTCCACGCCCGGCCCTGTGGACGCTGGGCCTCGTGCACTCATTGTCACTGAAGTCTTAACCTGGTGACGTGAGCCAGCAGTCACCCAGGGCCACTGCCCAGCCCCACCCTGGAATCCGGATGTAATTAGATGGGAGTTGGGGTCAGCAGAATGATTCAAAGGGAGACACGTGAATATCTGATGAGGCTGAGAGCACTGACCGCCAGTGGCGTGGACAGGGAGGAAGAGGCCTGAGGCAGCCGTAAGGCCGTCCTGCGTCTACCTGGTCCTGACTCGGAGCACGGAGCGGGAGGAGCCGGGGGAGCCAGGGGTGGCAGTACAGAGCTCAGCCTTTCCCAGCAGAGGACCAGAGCGTGGCTGGGGTGGGCAGACTGGGTGGCCACGCCCACCCTCTCCTCCCAAGACCAGCAGGCCACGTGGGCCTCCTGAGAGTTTGCATCCAGACAAGCTTCTTTTCATTTCCAGAAACGTCCAGCTGGGTCTGCATTAAGAACCGCCTGCTCCAAACCTGTAGCCCCAGACCCGTCGGGTGGCCCCTCGGCAGGGACACCTGCTCCCCCAGCGGTGCCAGCGTCCCCACGAAAACTCACAAGTGCTCTCCCACCTGAAGTCAGTAACGGGAAGCCCTTCCAAGGCCAAGCCTGTCTCGGAAATGGCCCTGCTCCGGTTTCCGTTACAGTTGGTGACCGGACATGCTCTGTGTCTCCTGAAGGACTGTCACCACCACCACAGCCCCCTCCTTTCTCTCCTGCCCCACCCCCGCCACCCCCACCGCTGCCCCCTCCTTTGCCGTCTTGGTCTCAAGCCCATCCGAATCCACACTTCCGGACCTCAGTCCAGGATGACCAGCCACTGCCTCTCGTGTGTGAGCCACCTGCCCTGAGACCGCGTGGTGCCCCGCCCAGCTTCGGGGGTCCAGGTAACGCCCTGGGACTGTGTCCCGGCTCTGCTTTGCCACGTTAGAAGCCAGCGTCTGTACGTGCTGCTGTAGGCCTAGCTGTGAGTGGCACCGTGGAATCGCAAAGTGAGTCTAGTCTGGTGTGAGAGACACGGCCCAGGCTGGCAGCCCCATCTCCGTGCTCCCAGTGACGCGCATGAGGGCTGTCTGAGCTGACAGAGTCCCTGTTTCAGTATGTACTTTTTTTTTTGGAGACTTTGTGTTTAATTTCTGTTCCTGGGGTATTTTAAATTGAGCTGCTCACAAGTTAGCTTACTGTTGTGTCTCTCTGCATGGCACTGCAGAATTAACTGGTTACATCTGCAGCAGAAGCATTTGGTGGCTGTCCCCAGGAGGGACATTAGCTAGCTGTCCTTGCTGACTCGCTGGCAGAGCACGGGTGGAGTGTATCAGGCAGCGGCTCAGAAGAGAGCTGGCCGCTCTGTGTGTGGTCAAGTCCACACATGCACTGACCCCGGGTGAATACATCTTGGCTGGGCGAGGGCTCTGATGTCACTCAGGATTCTAATCATGGTCTTAGACATCGTTGGGGACACTGTTTATAATACTGCAGGGGTGGGTGGGGAGGGTTTGGCCTGTGGCTGTCCGTGTAAAACCCCTAAGATGACCTGGTCTGGGCCTGACAGAATTGGCGACCCCTGCCGCCGGCTGCTTCGCTAAGCTGATCCTTCTGCGTGGGCCACAAGGATGTTACCATCTCCCCCTCCCTCCCGCTCTGCCCGTCAGGCTGTCACACTCAGGGCTGCAGCTGTGGCATGTCAGGTGCCTGGGCACAACGCCCAGGTCTGAGCACCCCTACCTGGAATGTGCAAAGGTCCTGTGACAGCTGATAGGTGTGTCACCAACGTCAGGGTTTCTCTGAACCTACAGCTGGAAATGCCCACAGTTACCAGGGAGGACAGCCCAGTGACTGGTCCCATGAAACAGAAGGAGCCTGTGTGCCCGGGGCCTGGGAGATGGCTGGACAGGGGCAGACATCTGCGGGGTACCCCGCCCCCAGCCAGGCTGCTGTGCCCACAGCTGTGGGAAGCCCTGAGCCACTTGCAGCCCACGCCCCCTTCCAGTGCCCTGCAGTGCCCCGTGGGAAGTGTGTATTAGCACCAGAGAGGGCCCTGGACTGTGGAACTTGTCTTCTCTGCCCTCAGTTGCCATCTAGACCCAACAGGCAGAATCTGGCTGGTGGCCACAGCATGGCCTTCCAGTCGTGAACTAGAACTGGCTGCTTCCCCTGGCAGTGGCAGTGGTGGGGGCTCCCCCAGAGGAGGTCTGAATTAGCGGCTGCCATCTCCCTGCCGGGCCCAGCAGGTGGCTCAAGGGCTCTGAGTTAGCAGAGTGTGAAATGAGCTCGCGCTCACCCTGCGCTCTGAAACGCTGATCTCATTTGCGTTGTGACAGTGTACTTCACACCTAAAGTAGAGTGTGCAACCGCTGGGGTACTGGTGGTGGAATCACACTCCCGGTGCCTGGGGCACGGTGCCAGGTCAGCCCTCCCAGCTCGCTCAGCTCCCCTGCACAAGGCTGTTCTTTGAGCCTCTGCCAGCGAGCATGGAGATCACACTTGGCTGCACAGAATGACTCATCATCAGCTAGTACCGCCCCCCAAAGCAAAGTCAGATTCAGCAGGCTACAATTCAAAGTTAAAAAAAAAAGTGTTCTCAAGTGGGAAGCGAGGAGGGGACTGTCCAGGGGCAGTGATGTGGCGCCCAGTGGTTCCCGGAATTTCCAGATGGAGCAGACAGGCCTTGGGCCCTGAAGGGCTCCCACTGGACAGGTGCGGGCCAGGTACCTCTAAGTGGCCCTGGATTTGAAGCAGCCAGTGTTGCAGGCGATTCCGATAAAATACACAGCAGCTGTGAAGCCGTCCTGGAGCCAAGTAGGTGCTTCCTGCTGACCGGCTGGCTGGCAGTCTAAAAGTGCCGGCCCAGCGGGGCAGGGATGACTGATGTAACTCATGGTGCCAGGCGAAGGGACTGGACTCTCCCTGCAGTGCTGGGAGGGGGGAGCGAGGCAGCATCTCCTCGCCCTGGGTGCTCATACCTGCTCTTGCTCCCGACGTTGCAGGCTCAATGGAAGAAGTGCTGGCCTCCCTTAGATGCGGCAAGACCCCACTCCGCAAAGTGGACGTGCCCCCCGCCGGGCCCCTGCCCCAGGCCACTGTCAATGAGGACATTCTGGCTGCCATAAGGCAGGGGGTGAAGCTGAAGAAAGTGCCTCAGGACTCGGGCAAGTGCCCCAGTGGTGTCCAGAAAGGCACCAGCGAGCTGCAGAGGAGCATCCAGGCCGCCCTGCAACGGATCAAGAGGGTGGCAGCCGACTCGGAAGAGGAGGACATGGAGAACCCCGGCGAGTGGGACCAATGACTGTGACTTGTCCCTGCTCCGACTGGGGCGGGACACACCATGCACACACCGCAGCTTTTATTCCATGATGCGCAGTGTGTTGTGTGGCGACTGCTGGCAGTGCCCGGGCCCAGTGGAGTCGGACTCAGTTCACTGTGGGTGGATCCAAAAGGCGCTGTGGCCACCCTGCCGGCAGCACAGTCGCACTGTGCAGGTGCGACTCTAAATATTTAAATAGACTTTATTTTGTGTATCAAGTCCACCATAAAGAACTATAATGCCCTAGCACTCTCCCTGCCTATGCGACCACTGAGGCAGGGGCACTGCCCGGTTCCCTTCTGGGCTCTGTGCTTTGTGTTAACACAAGAATGGGAGGGCATCTTCCTCAGTCTGCCCCTCACCTCAGCCCCGACTTCAGTCCTGGGCCTCCCCCAGTCCTGGCACACCCTCCTCGCTCACAAGAAGTCCTGTCTGGCCTAGTCTTCCTGCACCCAGGGGTTGGTCTCCTGCCGGGCGGTGCCCCCTGCTGGCCACTCGCAGGAATGTCCTCTGGAGGCCAGGGTAGGTCACACAGGTCAGTCCCAGGCAGCCGTCCCCACCCTGAGACCCTGGAAAGAACGCGTGGTGTTCCCAGAGCAGCAGTACCAGAACCTGGCAGGTCCTGCCCTGGGTAGTTTGAGACTGGGGATGGCTTCTGTTTGAACTGCAATTTCCACATCTTGAGATGCTGGCGAGCTCACTCAGGTACTTCTCACTTTGCTCCCAAAGGGGCTGCCAAAGATGGCATGCCACGAAAATCCTGGAGACTTCTCACTGAGTGTTCCTGGGCCAACTGTGTTTCCAGGGCATCGAGACTCTACCTCCTCTCTGGAAACTTCTCTCCTTCCTGCCTCCCTTGCCCCTCTCGAGCCTGGTCCACAGCCAACTCAGACCCCGGTGGCTTCGGGGAAGGGACAAGTGTCGACTCCACAGTCAGGTTTCAAACCCCTCCAGTCCGCTGCACACGGTGCTGCCCCTTCAGTCCCCATACAAACGGGCTGCTCCCATGGCGAGGAAGATAAAAGCCGCCCAGAGACCCCATGTTGTCCCAGCTGGCAGACTCTACTCCAGCAAGCCCAAACTGCCGGCCACCTGTTCCTCCTCGGCGCTGGGACCACCTCCTCTCAAAGCCACACCCATCCTCTCAGGTCAACCCCACAGTCTGCTCCTCTCTAGGTCACTCCTGAGCCTGTGCTCCCCTGTGACTGCTGCCCCTCCATCCTGGACACCTGTCGTGCTGCCTTCCTTCCCTGCCCCAGCTCTGTGAGATCACTGGCTCTCGACAAGCATGTCCACAACTGGCATCACCTAGGGCTGAACCATGGGTCAGTCGGCCAGCCAGCCAGCCTTACTCGTTTGTCGGCTCCTTCTCCAGATCTGAGCGGGGGAGTAGGAGGGGTTTGACTGATGGCCACGCATCAGGGAAATCCGTGTAGTGGTGTGGGGGTACGCAGCAGGGGGCCCCAGGCCTTGGTTCTGTGAGAACTCTGAACTGGTTGAAACCGTGGTGGTTAAGACCCCCGATCCCACGGGAGTGTTAGGTTCCCGCTCCGTGCTAAGGCATCAGCGTCTGGGAGCCCAGCAGGGATGGTCTTCAGGAGGTGGGTCCCTGCCACCTACCTGGGAGACCAAGATTGAGAACCAAGGGCCTGGCTTCTGAGACGGGAAGCAGATCTGGACCATGCTTCAGGAGGAGACTCTCGGGCGCTGGGTAGGGCTGAGATCCTGGGAGGTGCGGTGGGGCCACTGCCAGGGATGGGGAGGCACTGGACGGAGGAGAAGTTTGAGTGTAAACGTGTGAGGGGTGGTTCTGGGGACCAGGAATCCAGGGTGTGGTGGGGCTGAGACACCCTTGAGCAGCAGGTATGCATGCAAAAACGGGAGTCCCAGGTGCCAGCTGGGGCTCGGGCAGTTGCTGCCAGAGAAGGGCAGCTCAAGGAAAATAGCCTGGGACAGGGAAAGAGGCAGGAGGAACATTCAGGCAACACGGTGCACTGGGAAGAAAAATGTGGCACCTGCAGCCTGCGAGGCTTAACAGCGGCACTGCCACTCAGCCGTCGCCTGCTTTCCTCATGCCTGCGAGCATCTGTTCCCTTGAATTAAAGTCACTCTCCCCACAGCCTGAAGTCTCAGCTGACCCCAGTGAGGGTGGCTGCCCAGAGGGCCCCAGCAGCTGCGACTGGGAACAGCCAGCCACGTGGGGATCCCTGGGTGGAGCGTCCAGGTGCAGGGGTGGTGAACAATGGGGCCCTGCCCCCCACCCTTCTGTGGCTCTGTGAGCCCCACCCACACAGACACTCACCTATGGAGGAGGGGAGAGGTCCTGCAGGAGCCTGGTGGAGCAGTGGGTTCCAGTGAACATTCACTTGGAGGAAGAGCAAGTAGAGAAGGTTATGCCCCTTTCACTGCCAAGCTGGGAATCATACCTCCTTGGGCACATGGGCAACGCTGCCACCTGCCATGCTAGCATCCCATATGGGCTCCAGCTTGAGTCCTGGTTGCTCCACCTTTGATCCAGCTCCCTGCTAATGTGCCTGGCAACACAGTACAGGATGGTCCAAGTGCTTGACACCTTGCACCCACGTGGGAGACTCAGAAGATGCTCCTGGCTCCAGCCCACTCCAATCCTGTTTATTATAGCCACTTGGGGAGTAAATCAACAGATCAAAGATCTCTTTTTCTCTCTCTCACTCTGCTTTTCAGATAAACAGATACTTTTTAAAAAAACACAAACATTTTACTGAACTATTTATTTCTACATAAACAACTCTGTTACAACAAAATCAGGTAAAATTCACAAAAGCACACAAATATTTAAAGGAAAATAATTTCCCCCTTAATGTATGAAAAGATCATATAACATCATACTAAAATACACAAAGCAAAAATAGAAATAGAAGAGAAAGGACAGAAATACAACAGTCATGGGGAGTAACACACCTTAGTCTTTAACAAATCAAGTTAAAGATTCATAATGTACTTAATGAAGTCATGTGAATACATACAAATCAACTTTTCCCACCAATATAGAGACCTCATAATTTTCTAGGGAATGTTTATTATTAAAATTAAAAGTGCATTAGATCCAGGGACAATGTAACTCTAAAATGCACAGACTGTCCAGGTCATACCCTCTCAGACCACAAGGCAAAAAAACCAGAACTTTATGACAAATGTTTAAAACAACCATGAACAACAAATACCAAACTATCTGAAAGCAAAGGAACGTTTGAAATAACTGCAGTCAAAAAATAAGCTCAATTCTGAAATGATAAATTATTTATAATATAGAACAGCAAGTATAAAAACGTAAAAGGTACGGCAAGATGTATGCGGAGGATGAACCGCAATTTTACACTGCAGGAACTGTGTCATTCATTAAAACAAGAAAAAGTTAAAACGACATTCAGCTTGAGGAGTGTGACAATAATAAAAAAAATTCATAAAAAATCCTCATAATGTGCTAAGATGGTATGTTAAAAGAGACATCCCTGAACCAGTTCTTTCAAAAGACCAATAAAGTAGAGCTAATCCCGGAAAATCTCAGAATTTAAAAAAAAAAAGCACAGAATATTACATTATCAACAAGAAAAGAGAATAATATAACTGCATGCAAACATACTTGAAAATCTGAATAGACTATGTTTAGAAAAGTTAAACTGTCAAAAACGTATAGACTAAGAAGAAATTTAGAAGAAATTGCTAATAAGCATGGAAAAAAATTGAAAAAAATTATCAAAGTATTACTTCCTAAAAAGGCACTAGATTTGGGCAGTTTCATACATGTTATCAAAACTTCAAAGAGCAAAAAAAATTCTCATTATTGTTTAAACTGTTCCAGGGCATAGAAAAAGATCAAGAGCTTCCCAAATTTCTTTTTAAATCTTTGTAAAATAAGATAACATAAATGTAACAGTAAAAGGAATCATACAACTAGCTAAAAATTCCCCAAGAAAAAGGAATCAAATCTAGAATAATTTACCCATTTTAAAGCTCTCATTTTTATTGAACAAGCAGCTCACAATCTTTGTAAGAAATATCGGAAAAACAGATGAGAAGCAGAAAATAACAACCCAGCACAGACCGACCCATCACGTAGAGCCCCTGTGAACACGGCAGAGGCGTGCCGTGGGAGAACACCGCTCCGTGGCTACATCAGGGCTTTCCATGTGCATCGATCAGATGTCACAGGACAGAGGAACCATCACGACCTCAGCAGGTACAGAGAAACCCATTCAACAGACTCCCAACATCCCTTCCTGCTTGAACATTCCACGAGCTAGAAATAGAAGGATGGAACTTGAATAAGAAGAGCTTATGCAAGAGTCAAAATCTATGCTTTTGGGAACACACTACAGACAGTCTAACTTTTAAAAAAAAGTACGTATCTAAAGCAGAAGGGGCTCTACAGCACGGCCATGTATCAGTTGGGAAGCATCATTCGTGAAAGTGCTGACCAAGCATCTAAGATGACACGAGGACCTGCAACTATGACCTACCTGGAGAAGGCAGAAAGAAACAAGGACACGTGAGGAGAAGCCCGGAAGTGGCTGGTTCCAGGAGAGGTGACCGGGTTACACAGAGCAGTCCACAGCACATCCTACTCTCTTGGGGCAGACGTAAGGATGAGGTAGATTGAGGTGTACTGACACTGAGCGGTGTCCTCTGTCCCCGGCCAGGTCCCGAGTGGGAGGACTAGAAGAAGGGCTGGCACTGCGTAACCTGAACTACAAGATGCACTTCCCGGAGATGTGCCGGGGAGCCGCACCGTCAGCTGATTCATCTCAAGGCAGAAGGGTTTTAGTTGCGTGCACGCCATGTGCATTCATTCTCTACATGAAGTTGAACTCTACCTACTCCGATGGTTGACCTCAGGAAACCCTGTATGGAATTTCCATGGGTTGGTGAGCCCACATGCCAAGAACAAGGTCCTGGAAAAGGTAAGGACCAAAAGGCCTGATTACAATAACCCCAAGCACAAAATGACCCTGCGCTAGGAACAACAAAAACACCTAGGGATAAAAAATGCTCTGGATGGACTAAAAGGTTAAATGCTGCAGAGATGCTGACTCTATAGCACAGTACCTACGTCTTCTGTGACCCCATTCTCCTAAACGTCCCTGTAAGAAATGTGAGGAAGGGGACACGTTGTCCAAAGCTGGGACAAACCAGTGACACAACGTGCAGGCAGAGCGGGCCACCTGCAACGCGCGGGAACACGTGGGCGAGGGAAAGTGCTTGTCCCTGCTCCCGGCAGCAGCACTGGGCACAGCGGGGAAACGGGGTTCCAACAGTGTTGGGACAACTCAGGAAGCAAATTCCCAAGAGGCCAGAGAGTGCACTGTTTCAGAAGAAAGGAGAATGGACGTGACTAAACCACTGGCTCGCGTGGATACAATCTTGGAATTGCCGTGGGAAAGACCTTCTTAGGAGCATGTCAGCAAAGGGAGCTTCTGCCACAAACCGCGCAGGGTCTGATTAACCTCTGAGTCTATTAATTAGGTAGGATCGTTTCTATTAAACTGTTATACTCTTCATCTGAGAACAAAACAAAACAAAGCAAAACAATACAAAACAAGAAACCTCTTGGAAATAAATGAGATGACTGAAATCACTTTCTAAAAATACTGACTGGGAGACGAACGGAGAGGCTACCAAAAAAATACATATCTCAATAACTGGTCTGTGAGGTCCACATTTGTAACAAATATATATTTAGCTTCCTGCCCCCATGGTAACAGCAGGGTTAAACAGGGAGTGCAAGCTTCTCCTACAGTTCTGGTGGGATTAGAACCCAGGACCATCTTCTCAGTTCAAGGTAACTGGTGTTCAAAGTCCCCAAAACGTGCATACCCTCCTCCCCTGGTGGGTGGGTCAGGGCTGACTGTGCCAGTGAAGCCTCAGGGGGCTGCCCTGTAAGGTTGATTCCTTGCTGGGGTTGTTATCAGCAGCTCCTGGCCTGGGGCATCATGCAGACGCAGGGATGCTGACTGCCCAGAGGCATGGCAGGGTCCCAGCCTGGAACTCCCTGTGTCACTTCTGCTCATATGGGGGAGCCGGACAGTGGAGCCTGCTGAGCCCCTGGAAGGACGCTGAGGCACCCACGTTTGAGTGATGTCCCATTTCAGTTGATATGCCAAGGTGTTCACCATGAGGCAAAGAAAACTCTTTCTCCCTCCACACCAGACAGTTAAAGCAAAAGTGGAAGAGGATAAAGCGGCTAGGGGGCCAGCCCCTATACACTCTCAGGATCTGGGCTAAAAGAAAAATAATATGGGAAAACCAGACATTTCTGGAAAAAGTAACACAGGTGCACAGAAAAAAAAATCTGCATCTAGTGATGTTTAACAGTTATCAGAGGGCATCACAGCACGTGATATTTTTGTTCGTTCATTTGCAGTTCCTTCCTAAACAAAAGGTATCTTTTATTTATGTACTAAAAAAGCATTAAAGAAAAAACAACAGTACTGGGGGGCGGGGGGGGGGAGAACCTTATCATTTGACTCCTCTGGCGGATGCAAGAGATAGCTTGCCTGTAGTGGCAGAAGACACCGCCACCACAGCTGACCTGGCGTCCCAGCTTGCTGCTATAGGGGTGCAGAAGGCAACACTAGGCCCACATCCCACTGACGTCCAGGACGTCCCCACAGCTGGACTCGAGGTTCTCGCCAGGGGCACACCCAGGGTCCTTGCAGCCCAGGAGTCTGCTGTGTGGCCAGGCCCTGCAAGACGTCAAATAACCCCCCTGAGAGAGCCCAACAAATGGCTCCCAGGAACTGGCAAAGACAGACTCCTCTTAGGGGTACCTGCCTTTTAACTGAGAAATTGGCCTGGTCCATCTCCTGCTCAGGCTGGCTGCTCCCTCCTCTGCCGTGGCATGCGTGTGCACACTCACTCCTGTGTCATGGGACACTTCTTCAATCTCAGAATCCATAGTCACCTGCTCGCCTAACCCAGGCACAGAGAGAAAGCAGAAGACACCAGCAACACCCACAAGCATCATTTACAAACACATTCGGGCACTGCTGGGCAAGTTCCCAACTGCCATCCCCAGTATTTCATGAGGAACAAACTACTACGACCTCTCAAAGAACAAACGGCACTAGGAACCTGCTCTGGCCATCAGCAGGGCGGGGTCCAGGCTAAGTCACAGCATGTGCCTTCTCCCTGGGTTGGGGTGCCCCTGGCCACACGTTGGATCCTACCATAAGGTCCCTGGCAGGCTGGGGACCCACTGGCTCCTGGGGACATCCTTCTGGTCATTTGTCAGGTCCCAAGCCCCAAGCAAGCAGTGAGCAGGACGCCCCATCCCCAGTTCCAAGGCTACCGCTCCAGTTTTCAATCTATCCCGCACCGCAGGTCCATTCCACAGGGGCTCCCTGGACATGGACATCGTCACTGCCAGCAGTCCCTGGGGCAGATCCTCCGCTGATCCAAGTCACTCACAAATGGTACCTCATGTCTGTCTCTAAGGAACCAGATGGAATTACAGTGTGCCCTGGGTGGACCTGCATGGACTCTGCTGAAACCATGATGGGCACTGCGCTCTAATCGGGACCCTGGGGACTTGTCTTCTTTTGGCACCCAAAGGTCACTCAAGAGAGAACAGTGTGATGAGATGGCTCAGAAAGTCGCAGGACCTGGGTCCACACAGCTGGTCATGGCCAGTTGACGTTGGAAACGGCACTGCCTCCACCCTGTGACCTGGGCCTGGCTCGCTCACAATCCACATCTAAAGTAACGATGTGTGAGGATGAGGCCAAGGGTCACACCCTGGTTTTGAAATGCTATTCAGTTGGGCCTGGGCACCTTAAAGGGCTCCAAGTTGTACTTGGCCTCCACGATGCAATCAGAAACTCATTAATGTACAGACACTGGCTCAGACGTTACAACTATAAAACAGGAGCAGGTGTTGGCATGGCCTAGGGGACAAGCTGCCCACCAGGACACCCATAACCTTATGGTGTTCTTGTGTCGGGGGGCCTGGGTTCGAGTCCCTGTTCTGGCTCCTGACTCCAGCTTCCCATGACTGCAGATTCAGGGAGCAGGTCACGGCTCAAACAGCTGGCACCCACAGGGGAGACCCAGACTGAGTTGCTAGCCCCTGGCACTAGGAATCTGATGCAGCTAACCCAGCCTTTCTGGGCATCTGAGGAGTGAGCCAGAGGATGGAAGCTCTGCTCGTGTCTTTCTAATAAATAATCTCTAAGAAGTTCCCCAAAATAAACGAGAACACTGGGAGACTTCAACTGCCGCTGCTGACTCAGCTCACTGTGCCCTGGCTGCGCTGTGTGGTGACAGCGGTCACCTGGACAGGCTGGCATCCGGCTGGCCCTGGGCACAGGGTCTTGCCACAGCAGCAGGCCTGAGGGCCACTATGCCAGCTCAAGGGAAAGCTGGGATGCAGGATCAGCTGCATGGACCATCACTGCTGCCAGGCCATTACACTTTGTAAGACAAAGTCCATGAGGTGGCTCTGAGGGCTTTTGAGACGGGCAGAAGAAATCGGATAGGCAGGGTTTCCATCAAGTTGCGCTTCCCCCTGGGGACACCTAGCTTCCCTTCCCTTCCCTTCCAGGAACCCTTATGGCTCACCGTTCCCTTTGGTGAACTGGAAGGAGATGTGGAACCCAAGTTCCCTAACCCACCACCCTTCTGTGGCTGGGTGGGCTGGATCCCGGGCTGTGGTCACCTGCCGGCCTGTGGAGGCCTCTTCCGGCATGCTGTAAGGGTCACAGTTTAGAAACAGTCACCCTCCTCTGACCCTGCCACTTAAGCAAGCTCCAGTGGGCCAGCATCCCAGGACTGCTGGGCAGTCCCAGGCCCGACTGGCTAGCCCTCCCCCTGCTGCCGGGCCCCAGAGCCGACTCAGCCCAGCTCTCTGCCAGCAACAGCCTCATGCAGGTCTTGGACAGCCCTCTTAACCAGGAGCCAGGGTCACCAGGAGGACCGATCTCTTGTCCTTTGAGCAGGAGCTCCCCACTCAGCCTACAAGGGTCCCCCAAAGTGCCTGTTCCTTCCTTCCTCATCATGATCAAGACCTTCATGCTCAGGCGGTCACAGCTAGTGGAGGGTAAGGGAGGGTGGCATTCACCTTGGGGCCTGCCTTGTGTCTTCCAACCCTTGGGGAAACTACCTTTGGATTTTTGTGCTATCGCTTGTGGGTCACAGAATATGACTGGCTTAAAGATTAGCTGGCTGCAGATTCACCACACGTCCAGCCCCCTCCCTCGCCTGTGGGTGCCTTGGCAGTGACTGGTCACACGTGGCTGGTGGGCTGGGTGCCCTCTGACCACACCTCCCCTCCCCAATCCCAGTCCAGCTCTGCTCTGCTCCGCATCCCTGGTGGGTCTGAGCATCATGGGACAAGTGACCCTATCCCCAAAGCATCCAGAAATTCATCACCAGACTCCAGACATCTGGAAGTGTCCAAGTCCCCCTCTTGGGGCAGGATGCCCACTGGGCCCGCAGAGCAGCTCTGTAAGGAAGCAGGGGCTGGAGGCTCAACAGAAACAGAGGAAAGACACTGGCAGCCCCAGGCCTATGGCTGAGGCCAAGGCTCATGGTTGAGCTGATCTTCTTGGGACACCTGTGCGACTCCCTTCTCTGGTCCAGATCCATCCCAGGATGCCACTATATATCCCAAACGCCAGAAAGCCCAGACCACAGGCCCCCATGGCTGGAAAGCACAGAAAAAGTGGGTTCTGGGATGTCACATCAGCCTCTTGCTGCGTCTACCATGCCCCTCCCCTGCCCAAGCGCTCCCAATCCCCACCCCTCGTCAGCCTTGGTACTGCACCATGGATAACTACTCAGCCAGTGGCCTGCCCAGCAGCGACCTGGCCTCTGCTGGTGGGGTTGGATGAAAACACTAAATTCTGCTTATCTGTTTCATTGAACAAATATTTATTAAGCACCTACGGTGGGCCAGGCTCGAGGCCAGGGGCCTCACTGTGTGCTGGCCACACAGCACAAGCAACCGCTCAGAAGTAAAACCAACAGAAAGAACACCGATCACTGCAATCCTCCAAACTGGGTGGGGAGGGTAGGAAGGTGGGCTGGGGTTTGGGGGAGAGGGGATGCAGGCGACTCCCATGCCCAAATACGCACCTGCCAGAACCCTGCATTCTTGCTCTGGTCCTGTCTGCTACCAAGCTGTCTTCTCCAGGCCCTGTGGGCTCCTGGGGGACAACTCTACTCTCTCTGAACGCTATTGAAGAAGAGCAGCGCCAATGGGCCTGGCGCCGGGGCCATCGCGGCAGCAGGGATCAGGAAACACGGGGTATGGTTCGCATGGTTGCGACAGCCCTTAGGGAAAGAGAGAAACTCCCTGCCCTGACTGCGTGAACATGTAAGGTAGACCTAGTTCTGGTTCCTGAGTCAGAATCTTCCAGCAATCCACAACCTCACAAGGCCAGAGAAGCGAGAGGAGATTTCTAGTCTGCAGAGGAGGGAGTGGACAGCACGGCCGGCGTGCAACACGCAGCCCCTGGCGCCCGGTGCGCAGAGCCACACACCTGGGGGCATGGCCCAGCCCTAGTTGTCTGTGCCCAGCTTGGACAGGCCTCGGCGGAAGTCGTGCAGGTCATCGATCTTGCCGTCCAGCACCTCCAGGAAGCTCTTCAGCTCCACCTTCAGGTGGCGCTGTCGGTACTTGCTCTCTTCGATGTCGGTCTTGAGGGATCGCACCTTGTCTTCCAGGTTCTGATTGTCTCTCTCCGCTGCCTGTTGGGGTGTGTGTGGGCAAGAGCACAGGACAGAAGAGTCTAGAAAAACTGATGTTTCAGAGGGGCCAGGGAGGCCCGAAAGCCAAGCACAGATGTAGGCTATGACACCTAGCGGGATCTGACATCCAGCACGGGATGTCCACATGTGGTCAGCGGGAGTTGACCTTGCATTCCACTCTGAGACAGAGCCACAGGGAGCTGTGTGGGCAGGGCCTCTGGGCCAGCCAGTCCCTGCACCCTGCCATACTGTGGCTGATATGGAGCCGGTCTTGGGGGCTGGCCACCCCTTCCCCAGCCAGAAGAAACTGAATGTCCATTCCTCAAGACAGGATGGCCACGAGCCCCTCTGAGCCTCAGGCCCTGTACATTATGGTGCGTGGCACCAATAACGACTTTTTGGATATGGGCACAGGAAATAGTTCCTGTGCCCAGGGGACTGAATGAAACACTCCTCTGGGTTCAAGGAGAACCCCCAAACCCTCGTCAACGAATGGGACAGAGAGGGAGGCCTGCCTGAGGCCAGCTGTGCCCAAGGGCACCTGCTACAGAGTGGCTCAGGTGGCCTTGCTCCCAGCCCTTCCCAGCCTGCTATGGTTCTGTGGCTATTTTGGTGGCCTGCCCTGTATCTATGCAAAGGACAAGATAAACGCGGCCAGGGCGGCTCTGGGGGACAGAGCCAAGGAGGAGCCACAGCACCCGACACACAGCTGCCCTCAGCTTTACAGGAGCAGCTCACAACTGTAAGCGCCTGCCCATGGGAGCCAGGACAGGTGACACCGGCTCACCTCTAGCTTCTCGGAGACATAGTCACACTCCGACATGAGCTGCGGGATGATTTCACTTTGCTTTCGGAGGTCTTTCAGCTCCTGCGGGAGATGCGGGGAGCAGGTATCAAACCAAGTCAGACAAAGACTCCTGCCCGCAAACCACCTCGGGTACATGCCGTTCCAGGCAGCCCTGGGGACACATCCTGACTGCCTAAACGATGGTGGTGACGTATTAGCTGCACTTCGGCCATGACGGACCTCAAGAGCCAGGTGTGGCACCTGCCCTGCCACGGGCAGCCGGGAAAGCCATTGGCTAAAGCAGGTGTTCTGTGGAAACTTTGAATTCCATTTCCCACGAACTTTTTGAAGTCCCCGCCTGCCATTAGTACAAGGTGGCCTTGGTTTGGGGGCTTGTACCCGGTATGTGGTACGGGCTCTGGCCTGTGCCATGAGGAGTCAGGGGAGCCCAGAGCCCAGGCTGGGAGCTGTGCTACTTACCGTCTCCTTGTCCCGGAGTTCCGTCTCGAGCGCCTCAATCCTGCTCCTCAGCTGGCTGTTCTTCTCCCGTTCCCTGTTGATCTCGCTGCACTGCTCTTCCAGCTCTTCCAGCTGTAACCGGCACCTCATGTCAGAGCTGGTCCCGGCCCCACAGCAGCCTGCCAGCCCCCAAGAACCCCACCGGACTGCTGCTGGGCCCTCTTGGCAGGCCATGCCCGCCTATGCTCACACCCTGCCCTTTGCTATGAGTGGCAGCACACTCCACATGGCTCCTCCCTAGGCTGCCCACACCCTGGGGTGACCTCAGGTTTGCTCTGCAGGCACTGTCCCAGCCGTAGGGCCAGGTGTCCCTGCCTTGATCCAATTCTTTTCAGGATTTTACTGTGGCTTGAATTATTCTTTCTCATCTCTAGAGCTCACATCACAACTGGGCATCTCAGTGAGACAGTGGCCTCTGGATGGCACAGGATGACATTTCAGAGGTCGCCTAGGACAGGGGACCTTCCCCAGCTGATGCACACAGGGCCTGAGGGGCCTCTTCTTCCAGGCTGAAATCTCAGCCCTGGATTGAACTTCCCTCCTAACCAGGCAGAACCTCAAAAGGGATTCCCACGGGGAAGGTTGGAGCACAGGCCCACCCCCCATCCAGTGTCACCGTCACTCTTGCAAGCCTTTCTCAGGGAGCAGAATGTGTGTGCAGAGTGCGTGGCAGGAGTGGGACCCCAAGGAAACAGAAACACCCCTTGGTGCAAAGGGTGCCGGGTAGGCCCAGAGGCAGCTGTGCCAAGCTCAGCATTTGGACCCAGCTGTGCCCTTGCTGGCTGCCACCTGCAATCCTGAGATCATGCTTCCCCCCAATATCCCTGGCCCTGCCCCCAGAAGTCTACACTCCTCCAAGGGAGCCGATGTCGGGGTGTGCCCCGCATAGCCTCTACTTCTCACACTCAGCCCCGGGCACTCCTTGGGCAGCCCAGGGATGAGAAGGAGCAAACCCAGCAGTGGGTCGAGGACCCGTCCTCATTTTTGGCCTGGACATGGGGACAAGGACATGAGGCCATGCTGTGTGCCAAGGGCACGGAGGAAAACAGCCAGGAGGGGGTGGCTGTAGTGGGTGTGCCCAGCAGGTGGAGGCCAACAGGACTCAGGAGATGGGGGACCCCACTCATCATGACAGTATCACTCCCTCTCACCCCCACCCTGAGGCCATTGAACAGCTTCTGAGGCCCCGGCAGGATGAGCAGTTTCAGCTTCAGCCCCCAAGCGGCTTCTGAACACACACTTGCTGCTTCCCTTATCTGTGGCACATACATGCTACTATGGACACACTGCTATCTTCTCCCCAAAGTGACAGGGAAGGGACACAAAGAATGAGGGTGGCCCCAGGACAAGGCTGGTTTTGGAGCCCTTCCTTGACAGCCTCTGTGCCCCCTACCGCTGCTGCTCCCCTCCACTGCTAGTGTTCCCCCACCCCACCCCCCCCCGCTGGTGTTCCCGCACTGCTGTTCCCTTTACTGCCTGCCGTTCCCTCATTGCTGTTCTCTTCACTGCCTGCTGTTCCCTCTGCTGTTACTGTTCCATCCACTGTTTGCTATCCCCTGCACCACCTGCCATGCCTGTAGCCCACCTTGCGGCGCAGCCGGTCATTCTCGTCACGGCAGATGGAGAACTGTCGCTTCCACTGCTCCACGCTGGCGGCTGACTCCTGCAGCGCCGTGCTGAGCCGCGCGTTGCTCTCTCGCAGGGTCTGTAGCTCCATCTCCCATTTCTTCACATTGGCGGCGCTGTGCACAGGGGGCAGGAGGGGGCCAGGATGGTAGCTGGGGACCACCCTCAGCCGGCCACAGGGGAGCCACCTGCATCCCACTGACATGGACTAAGCCTTCAGCACTGCTTCTGCAGAGAGGTCTTCAGTGGGGACCGTGGCCTCTGAGGACCCGTGGAGGTGATGGACAACTCTCTGGGGCTGGGAGACCACCCCTCAGGCCCCATTCACAGGGCTCACGATACATGTTAACTTGTACCTTCCATAGCCCTTCCTTGAGTTGGGGTTCCCAGGTGATGTTGCCATTGCCCCCAAGGCCCTGGGTTCTATCTTTGGCTCTCCAAGCTCAGCTAGGGAGAACTGGAAACGCAGCTGCCCACAGGCTCCCTCTCTTCCAGCTTTCGTTTCCTTGCTGGGAGCCCACAGATGTGGGAGCTTTGGGAACTTGGCAGAAATCAGTGATCGCAAGACCCCGTGTGTGTGTGCACCAAAAGTAAACTGTTCTTTAAAATTTCATTTTCCATCAGCTTTGCCAAGCATCCCCCATACGTGTGGCACCGAATATGGCCCAAGGTTACGGGGCAGAGCCACACGTGACAAACCCCAGGGGCTTCTGCCTGGCCAAGGGGCATCTGCTCCCTGCGGGCTTGTGTGTTTTCAGGACCGGGTCTGAATCATCCGTGTTATCGTTATGCATCCCATCCCCAGCCCCCAGCTACAGCTACAAAGATGTGACTGGCAAAAAAAAAAAAATTTTTAAAATAAAACAAGCTATCCAATTTCAAATGCTGACAGGTGAAGAAACAGCCAAATGCTATTAGAGGCATTAGAGTCGATTGCTGGGGACTTGAGCTGATTCAGGGAAGTCGGACTAGAAGGTGTTTCTTCTTTGGGGTGGGATCTCCTCATCTCTGTGGATCTTTGGGACTTCAAATAGCCAGCAGTGGTCCTCACAGCTGCCTGTCCCGGCCACGTCCTCTGTGCTCCTTGACAGCCTGGCAGGCAGAAGACAGCTGGACTCTGGACACCACAGGCCAGTGCCTTGGTCTCGGACCAGAGCTGGCTGTCGCTCAGGCTATTCTGCAGGCTGAGGGCTTGCAGCTCCCAAAGAGGCAGCTGAGGGGCAGCCCCACAGCCTGAGGGAACTGGCTGCAGTCCCATGGGTTGGAACAAGGCCCTGTGGGACACCTCTACCAGCATGAGGACTGAGGATGGTGCTGTCCATCAGGATGAATAGCTCCACCTGCCATCACCCCTCGGGCTCCTTGATGTCCTTGTCCTGCTGGGGTCCGTGTGATGGGTGTGGAAGACAGGAAGGTGTGAACAGTTCCATTGCAGGCAGGGCCACAAGGAACTTCCTGCTGCATGGCAGGGCCTGGTGGATGTCTCTACAGCCACCTGAATGCAGCTCCACCTCCCTTTGCATGGACACCGGACAATCTAGCTGAGTATTCTGCAATCTATTTAGGCATTGTCTGCTTCTGCAGAGTTAATGTTTACTACCAATATGAGCTTGGAAGTTGATGTTGCTGATACCGTTTTAGCCAAAGGGCCTTTCATTATTGTTGTCTCCGCCCACATTGACCATATACTAATCCAGGACGTTATGTCCCCAGGTGTAGTGGGAATCTGTTCTTTCCCTCTTTCCTTGATCTTTAGGTCCTTCCTTCTATGATGCATTTCCTCCCTTCACTGATTCAAGATGAAGTTGTAGAATGAGGATTGTAGTAGGAATGTGCATCATCTATTGAGAACTTCCTGACCACAGGGTCAGGATGGATAACATCCTGCTTTAAGGTGAAACAGATGGCAGAGTTATCTTTGGAAACACCCACTTGACCATGACATAAAAAGTCTGAGCCAGAGTTTGACTGTTTCTGTACAAATAAAGCGGACAGCTTTCGTGCATTGTCCATTATGATCATGAAGTCACAGTGGTCTGACTATTTTCTCTACGCCTCATCCACGCACCTTTCTTGAGTTCTGAACTCGGCCTGAGCTGAACTCGGGCATTGCCCCATTGGTTCTGCGGGACCTCAGGCACGACTACTACCTTCACCCCTAGACCTGACGGGATGCATGGCCACATAAACTGCCAGCGGTGTTGATGTGGTTCCCTATTATTTTTGTTTCTTAGGTTTGGCAATTCCCTTCTTGGATGTGAAGACCGACATTGCGTGTGAACGGTTCAGCTCCTTCAACACTGAAGCATAAGCGTAAGTACCACATGCTCCCTCACACGCTCACACATGCACACACTGACACACACATGAACACATCCTGGCATGCTCACACTGGCTTGTTCACAAGGACACACAGGAGGATGTTCACAGAGATATACACTCCCATTAGGGCTCTCCCTAACACACTCAAACTAATACACTAACAGGATCATACCAGCTTGTGCACACTAACACACAATCCCACACTAATACACACACTAGCGAATCTACATGAATAATCCACACCAGCATGTTCACACTACCATGCAACCTGCACTAGCATGCTCACACCAGCAAGCTCACAGATGCTTACATGCATGGTCAGAGAGACAGAGAAGGGCCGTGCAGCTGGTAGGCCTGCTCCGACCAGGAGACAAAACTTTTGTGCCAAGCAGGGCCTGGTTTTCTCTGCCAGTGTCTCGAAAGCCTGCTCAGCAGGATGGCCCCAAGAGAAAGGCGAACACGGAAGAAACTGGGACTGGCCAGGGTGCACAGCTCACCTCTGCGTCAGCGCAATCTTCAGCTTGTCGTTCTCAGACTTGAGGTGCTTGTCGGCTGGCCCGGCATGTGAGGCCTTCTCGTCGTCCGTCCCGTTGATACTGGACGCCTGGGTGCAAGTGGGGGTTTCACACCCAGATTCCTGGCCAAAAGAGTTCTCTCCACGCATTACTACTCGTCCTCATCCTGACAGGCCACGAGGGCATGCTGGAGCAGATGACCCGGCCCATCTTACCAGAACCCACATTGACTAGTAACGCGGAAAATACCAACAATGACCATCCATCACGGTCCCCAACGCCCGCTGGGAGCTCACAAGGTCCCTTACAGCACAGCTCAGGTCACTGCTCTAACCTGGCACATGAGACAGCCTTAGGCTCCTTACACAGAAAGGACAGATGCCCCATGCAGTAGTGTTCCGTGCAGGGCTAGCAGACAAGGGCAGAAGACACTCCTGGGACTTTGACTCAGGTGCTTGGCTAGTGGCTATCAGCACACCCGCTGGCTGTCTCCATCCCTGCATCCAGACTCCAGCTTCCCGCTCAGGCAGGCCTTGGTGGGGGCGGGGGACAGGGCAGTGATGGCTCCTGCTCACTGGCATTCCTGACAGGCCATGAGGGCATTCCTTGGGCCCCAACAGCCATGGGCACTCCATTGAAGAGTGAACCTGTGGGTGGGAGCTCTTTTTATGTGTGTTTTTCTCTCCCTAGCTCTCAAATAAATATCTTTAAAAAAACAAAAATGGGGGGGAGGGGCGGCTATGGAGAGTGAGATCAGCAGACTCATTTGAAAAGCAGGAACCAGATAAGAAGTAGCTTAGTCTCATCTCTACCCGGTATTGCTCCGAATATCCTGAGGAGCTGTCTTATAATCAGTTACCCCACAAGGGGTGAAGCCTCATGTGGTTCTGAGTAAGAATTCATATCTTCCTTAGCCTCCAGCAGGCAAACAAAGGAACCTTGAGGTATACCTTTGATTAACTTGCAACTTCAACATTAAAAAAAAAAGTCATAAACAAAGTTAAAATGCAAACATGAGCCAGGGGACCAATATACGCAGTAGATATGAAAACAAGACGTTGGTATCTTTCCCAACTGAAACACTCTTAGAGAGCTCAACTTTCACAGCTGTGCCTTGAAATATTTATGGAGGAAATGCCGACACCTGGCGGAACTGCTTTACCATATGAAGGAGGGGGCAGGAGAAGGGGAATCCAAACACCAGGGAATACAGTCTTATCCGAGATCTAACCTGTGTGTGCAGGTGGGCTCAGCACCCTCCATCCCTCCATCCCTCCTTCCCTCCTTCCCTCCATCCATCCCTCCCCATTCATTCATTCCTCCATCCATTCATCCCTCCCCATTCATTCATCCCTCCTTCCTTCCATCCATCCATTCATCCATCCAGATTGGCTGCCTTGTTCAGGATATGCTGAGATGTCTCATGATAAAAAACAAAAACCAAAAAAACAGTTCTTAGGAATCAACCCTGTCAAGGATGAATCAGCTTAAAGATGGAGAACAGGCAATTGGTATAACAAAAGGAGAAAGCAATCAATAGGCCAAAAAAATATTTAGTCTCACTAGAAGGAAAAACAAAAAAGAAAAAAAACAACCCTTTTATGTTTTATAAAACTCTGTCAGATGAACACAGCTTTGTGGGTGAGGGTTTGGAAGAGGAGGCTTATTCACTGCCAGTAGGAGTCAGAACGGTGCTTCCAGCAGGCTAGGTTTGCAGTCGGCACCGAATCCTTTCCAAGGTTAGTGCCTTTGGCCCAACCAGTGCATGCAAACACATTACCCTGAGGAAAGCACCCAGCACACCCAGCTGGGCCAGAATGTCCATTTCAGCATTCAACAAACAACCTAAGGGTCCTTAATTAAAGCTCGGATACAACCCAAGGCTGCACACAGCTCAGCCTGAACCGTCTTGAAAAGGAATCTGAAAACACAAGGGATTGATCACGACGCTGAAAAGTTTAGAAAAAGCGACGTGGTAAACCTCGTGGAAATGGTCGTGGGAAGTCACACCTGCTGGTGCGAGCACAGCCGGTTCCTCTCCCCACTCTAGAGTAGGGAATCAAAAACACCGTGCATCGAGAGATTCTGCAACTGGATGAATTCCTCAACTATGGGAAACTGGACAAACTGGCCACACTCCAAGGAATTCAAGAAACCAGGCAACCGTGAGTTCCAGCAAAAAGAAACATATAACAGATCCTAGATCTGGGGAAAGTAGAAGGAAGAGTTAAAAAAAAAAAGTTTGGAGATAGAAATCCTTTTCTCCACAGTTGAATCCTACTTGCAAACTCCTATCTTACCGGGGAGGCCTGGTTTCTTAAGGTCCAGATGACCTGCAGGGCACATGGTGGGGCAGTGGGTTAAGCTACTGCACCCACAGCAGAGTGACAGCTGTGTCATTCCATTTCTCAACCAGCTCCTCGCTCTTGTGATGGCCAGAGGCTGTGGACTCCTGTCACCCACATGAGAGCCTCAGGTGGAGTCCCGGGCTCGTGGCTTCAGCCTAGCCCAGCTCTGGCTGCTGCTGGCCTTCGGGGAGTGAAGCAGGAGCCAGAAGCATGTGCACGCATGCACACACACAATTACTCTGCTTTTCAAAGAAATACATAAGTCTTGGGGTCAGCGTGATGGCTCAACAGGCTAATCTTCCACCTGCAAGTGCTAGAAGCCCATAGGGACACCTGTGTGTGTTCCAGCTGCTCTACTTCCCATCCAGCTCTCTGCTATGGCTTGGAAAAGCAGCAGAGTATGGCCCAAAGACTTGGGCCCTTGTACCTGCATGGGAGACCAGGGAAAGGCCCCGGTCTCCTGGTCTGCATTGGCTCAGTCTGGCTACTGTGGTCATTTGGGGAGTGAACCAGAGGATGGAGGATCTTTCTCTCTCTCTGTAAATCTGCCTTTCAAATAAAAATTTTTTTAAAAAAATCTTAAAAAAAAAAAAGGGGGAAATACATATCTTACCCCTCCTCCCGAAAAAAAAACAAAAACAAAACAAAACAAAAGACTAAAGAAAAGTACTTTGGGTAGGGACAAACAGTTACAGGAAAACCCCGTATAGAGAGATTCAGATCTTGATGTTGACAGAGAGCACCATAACATGTGACACCTGGAGGAAGATGATACACCCAGACTCTACACCACAGCTGACCAAGGTGGCACCCAACTGGACACACCCTTGGATTTGGCATCTTCCAGGGATACCTGTCAGCCAGACCAGGCTATGAGTTCCGGGTACTGCCTGGATGCCCTTCCAGATCCACCTCCCGGGCTCCAGCTCTAGCCTTCCGGCCTCTGCTGCTTCTGGCTGCAGCCATGGCTTCCACGAGGCCCACAGCCAGGCCTGCTGCACACACCCAGGGCCCCTTACTCACCTCCTGGGGTCTGGCCCCCATGGCTGCTCTGCCCCAGCCATTCTCCACCCCATAGCCTCCTTGGTGACCATTCCACCTGCAGTCACACCCTGACCTGCAATGTTGATCTATTCCAGGTCAACAGCCCCCAAGGCCCTCCAGGATCTCCCGACTGCCCCCAGTGAGACAAAGAACCAGCACAGAGGAGAATACCAGGCCCTCCACAGCAGCCTCCTCTCAGCCCAGCCACACATGCTCCCAGCTCTCTCGCTATGGAACATTTACCAAGGCTGATTCCTGCCCTCTGTTCTTTGTTCTCGAACACTTCCTTTTCCTTGTCCCTCTACACAGGACACTGTCCCAGACCAAGCCATACCCCAGCCTCACATCTACCAATCCACGAGGCAGGGGTCTGTCTGTCCTAGCTTCAATCACCGACTTGGGAGTCTGTCAGCACAACTGAGTAGATGCACAGCTCGATTCCCAGCGCTCAGACCTGCCTGGGGCCAAGACACAGCCGTGGCATGCCTTCTTCCACCTGACGCTAAGCAGGGACACGAGGGTTCGGCACATCCAGTTCTCTGTCACTGGGCAGCCGAGTACCTGGCGCATCATGCGTCCTCCCATGAAAACATGACAAAGAAAGGAGGTGGGGCTCCCTCCCGAGGACTCCACTCTGCCCTCCCAGATCAAGGACACACCTGGGAGAGACTGCTCGAGGTCTCGATCTTGTCCTGGGACTTGTCTCTGGCCATCCGGGCAGCTTCTCTCACCTCCTGGAATTTCTCTGCAAACTGAATGCCGGGAGGAAGCTGTTAATAAGGTCTTAGTGAACCTCGTGCATAGCTGATAGCCAAAGCCCTCTGGGTCCTTTAGCATCCGCTTTCAGCTAACAAGTGCTGTGTATAACCAAACAAATTTTATTGGGGATGGAAAAAAAAAATGAACACAAAGGAGATTTTTGTTTTTCCACATTCAAGAAACATCTCTGTACCAAGCTCAGATCGGAAGCTAGTTGGATGAGAAAGTGTGAAACACATGTCATGCAGCCAGTTCAGCCACCCCTCGTGATGCCAATATCCCATATTGAAGCAACCATTCTAGTCTCAGCTCCTCCGCTTCCAATCCAGCTCCCTGCTAATGCACCTGAGAAAGCAGCAGATGGAAGCCCTGGAAGCAGCAGATGGAAGCCTGACATCCTGACATCCAATAGGAGACTTCAGCCTGGTCCATTTGGATGTTGTGAGCATTTGGCAAGTAAATCAGCAGATAGAAGATATTTCTCTTTCACACGGTGCCTTTCAAATAGGTAAATAAATCCTCTGAAGTAGTAGAAACAAAGGCCTCAAGATTAACAGGAACAAATACAAAAACAATGAAAGGAATTTAGCTAAATCTCCAAGGGGAAAAAAAAAATCCAAGAATCCCAATAAACAGGTGTCATAAAACAGAAAAATACTCTGTGAGCCAGGAGGGAAGGAACTGCTAAATTCCCAAAACTTGTGGTGAGGTCCTTTTTAAGCCAGCCAGCTCCAAAAGGAGACAGGTGGACATCTGCCCCAGGAAAACACCATCAGGTTGACAGTATCCCAAACGGAAGTGCCTGTGCTGGAGTGCCGGCTCCAGCTTCCTGCTAAAATGCACCCTGGGAGGCAGCAGGTGGCGCTCCAGGCCTTGGGCCCCTGCCACCCAGTGGGAGGCCTAGATGGAGTTCCAGGCCCCTGGCTTTAGCTTGACCTCGACCAGGCTCTGGAAGACATCTAGAGAGAACCAGAGTTTGAAAGATCTTCCTCCCCTGCCACCTTGCTCTCCCTTTCTCTGTATCTCTTTCATATAAATTTTAAAACCTAAAAAAAAAACACTGGATGCAAAAAAAAAAAAAAAAAAAGGAACATTTGTCAAACTTCTGCTGCTGGAAGGCTGGGAGGGTAATTTTCTCAACTTGGAAGAAATAAAAGAAAAATCCCAAAAGTGACAGACTTGACTACATAACAATTCAAATCTTTGGAATATGAAAGGAAAAGAAATCCTCTAGAAAAACAGAAGAGGAACAAGCCCGTGGAAAATATAGCAATGCTGGAGCAACAGAGAAAGTCTATTATCTTGCACAAAAAGAGTTGATGATGCAAATTGAAAAGAAAAACATGAAAACCTCAACAAGATAAATGGTGGAATTCACAAACAACACCACAGCTGAACCACGCATTAGGTGGTTCGAATACAAATCAAAATTACAAGGCATTCTTCTTTGCGGGCTACATTAATGAGCCCTAAGCCCAATGATAATTCCTGGTGCTGGCAAGATCCTCTGGTAGAGCTGTGTCCTGGCACAGCCCTGCGGAGAGGCAATTTGGAAATCTGTATTCAGAACAAAAACTAGGCTTGAACCCAATGATCCAGCGATACCGCTTCTGGGAAACCATTGTGCGAAAATAATGGAGCATCGGACAAAGGGAAGGAGGCCTTTGATACAAAGATCGGGATCCTAGCTTCATGTGCAGGAAGGAGACCCTGGCAGGGACCCAGGGTTCCCTCTGCCCAGCCCTCCCCATTGGAAGAAGTGGATCTGGGGCGCCAAATGATCGCCTCGCAGTAAAAACTCCTCCTGTAATGCTAAGCTCGTTAGCATTTCTCTCTGTTCTAAAACAGAAGCACATGGCTTGCAGAGTTGAAAGACGTGGCTTTGGAAAACAACCTCCCTGAGAGCTCCCACCACCACTCACAGGCAGACACTAACCACACGAATGCTCTGTAGCCAGTCATGGTGTCGCTGCATTTGAAGCTGACAACACGCCCTTAATACCCACAACTAATCCTGGCATCACCCACTAAGATGTCTGAACTCCTCAGGGTTCCCCTACAGGGTATCCAGCTGATATCTCATGCCTGGACATGGGGCTTTCTCATTTTTCCTTGTCTTTTCCCATCCTTGCTCCTTATCTTGTTTCTGCCTTTCCTTATAATAAAGTATTCATTTAGTCATTTGAAAAGCAAAGTTACCAAGTGAGAGAGACTGATTTTCCACCTGCTGGTTTGCTGACTAACTGGCCACAAAAGGCCACAGCAGCCAGGGCTGGGCCAGGCTGAAGCCAGAAGCCAGGAGCTGCATCCAGGTCTCCCACACGGGTAGCAGGAATTCAGGCACTCGGGCCACTTGCTGCTGCCTTCCCAGACACACCTGCAAGGAGCTGGACAGGAAGTGGAGCATCCACAACTCGACCTTGGAGCTTGGATCAGGGAAGCTGGAGCCGGTTTAACCAACTCCGCCCACCCTCCCATCCCTCCTGTTGTAATTAATGCTGCAAAGAAAACCCCTCTACCAAGCCGTTGTTTAGGATGATTTCCTTCAAACAGATTCCTATAAACCTCCCAAACTTCTAATTAACACTGAAACTCTCCCATCTGCCTTCATCATGGTCACCCTATACCGTTTTAAGGCTTGCATAATACTTCAGTCAAAACCATTACCATCATCATCATCATCATCATTGTGACAGAAATGGTTTGCCTGGGGCCCATGTTTTGGCACAACAGGTAGTCACTGCTTCCTACTATGCCACCATCCCACATGGGTGCCGGCTTGAGTTCCAGCTGCTCCACTTCCCACCCAGCTCTTAGCTAATTGCCTGGGAAAGCAGCACAGGATGGTCCAAGTCCTTGGGCCACTGCACCCACGTGGGAGACCCAGAAGAAGCTCCTGGATCCTGCTTTGGATTGGCCCAACTCCAGCCACTGCAGCCACTTGGGGAGTGAAGCAACAGATGGAAGATCTTTCTATCTCTCCCTCTGTAACTCTGCCTTTCCAATAAAAACACATACATTTTAAAATGAGGAATAGGAGTTTGGTGCATTGGCTGAGGCTCTGGTTGGGAAGCCCAGACTGTCTGGGTTTGTGTCCTGGCTTGGCTCTCAACCCTGGTCCCTGGGCAGGGGTGGTGATGGCTCATGTCGCTGGGTTCCTGCCAGCCACGAGGAAGACGAAGAGCAGTTCCTGGCTCCTGGCTCCAGCCTGGTCCAGCCTGGTCCAGCCTGGTCCAGCCTTGGCTGCTGTTGGTGTTTGGGGCTGGACCAGTGGAAGGAAGCCCTTTCTATGCTTGCCTTTGTCTCTGTATTTTTCTGCCTCTCCAAAATAAGACTTACAAGGAAACTGGTTCATATTCAGGACGTAGGAGGACAGGAGACACGGTGATGTCCTTCCAACCACAGAGAATGAATGAAAGCTTCCTCTCATCAGAACCTGCAAGAAGTTCCCCTCTCTCCTCCAGGGCACAGGTGCCGCATACTCCCTCCAGCAGCCTAGCTATGCAGGGCACACAGTCCCTCTGCAGGGCTGGACCGTGACAGCAGGGTAGCTGTTAGCATGCAGGCCACTGCATACCTGCTGACCAATACTCCCCTTCTAGGCGGGGAGGCAGAGAAGCTTGGAGACCACCCTCAGCAGTGAAAATGTCTCCCTAGCACATAGAGGCAGCCGTCTGAACCCATGGCTTACACGGAAGTCCAAGGGTGTGTGCAAGGGCTTGGCCGTGCGGGGTGACACAAAGCTGGGTGCTCTGGGAGACAGACTGGGGACAGGGCCCTGAATGAAACCACAGCCGCCCATCACCTCGCCCTCCACGGCTGGAGAGTCCTTCAAAGCAGGTGGCAGGAAGGACCGGCCCAGAGGAGCCTCCGGCAGGTGCTTTCTCAAAAGACATACAGTGCAGCAAGGTGTGTGGCCCAGCAGGTAAGATGCCCACATCCCACGTGGAGCACCCATACTCACTGCCTGGCTCTGACTCCTACTGCCAGCTTTCCGACAATGCAGACCTTGGCAGACAGCAGGAGATGGCTCAAACACTTGGGACTCTGCCCGCCTCCCCATCCCACAACACGGGAGACCTAGATGGAATTCCTGGCTCCTGGGTTTGCTTCAGTTCAGCCTCAACTGTGACAGGTCTCAGGGGAGTGAGCCAGAGGATGGCAGGGGTGTGTGTGAGAGAGAGAAAGAGAGACACAGAGAGAGAGTCAGAGAGAGAGAGGGAGGGGAAAAAATGAAAACAAAAGACAGATGGGTACACTGCCCAGGGACCAGGGACCAGGGCCCACGTGTCTCTGGCAACACACACTCCTGTTTCCCATGGCCACCTGACTTCCAGTCCTACTGAGCACCCAGCTGCCAGCTCCAGTGCCCAGCCCAAGCATCACAGCCCTGAGGGTCCAGCTGGTACAGCTGCTCACGCCCGTGAACCATCACCACCTAGAATGTTCCAGCACATATCTTCAAACCCAGTGGGTCTGCAGATGAAATGCAGGTCATTCATTGAGTCACTGCAGGATGATCAGGCCCTCCCACCACCCCGTCAGCCAGAAGCAGAGCTTGGGTGTTTGCAGCCGGCTGGGGAATCCCAGCTGCAGAGTCACAGTGGGAGCAGGGCTGGACAGGCCACCACCGCAGTCACATCCAGTTATTCACAGTCCACACTCCTGCTTCATGCCTGCTCTACAGCTTTCAGCATCTGGGACAGAACCCGGCTGGGAACAGGCAGGCTGTACAGGTGCTGTGGTGCTTCTGGGCTGCCTGAGGATGTGGCAGACAGAGGGTGGGGTTATGCCCACAACGCAGGGCATTCATGACCACGTGTAGGATGGCGGGATCTGTACGCTGGGGTTTCCTGAGAGGCAGGTGCACATGCGCATACATGTGTAGGCACACACGTACACATGCTGGGCAAAGAATACAGCAAATTCACAGGTGCTTATTGGGGTGGACTTCATGACTCACCCCAGCTCCCCTGCCCTTAAAACTATGCTCATCCAAGTCTGCCCAGGGCAACTTTGGCCAGGCCCCAAAACTCCGGACTTGTGGGGGCCAGTGCTATGCAGTAGCAAGTTAAGCTGCCACCTGTGGCACCTGCATCTCCTATGGGGTGTTTGGTCACATCCTGGTTACCCCAGTCTCCATCTAACTCCCTGCTAATGCACCTGGGAAAGCAGCAGATGACCTAAGTGGGTTCCTACACCTACACAGAGGATCTGGATGGAGTTCCTGGCTTTGGTCTGGCTCAACCACAGCTGCTGTGGCTATCTGGGGGAATGCAAGATCTTTTTCTGTCTCTCCATGTCTCCTTGTTACTCTTTCAAATAGGTAAGTAAAATGTTAAAAAAAAAAAAAAAAGAATGTGGATTTATGTGTAGGCACTTGGGGACAGAGACCAGGTTTCTGCAGCCCCAGTGCCTGACACGGGGTCAGCCCAGGATGGAGCCCAGTGACACCTGTCCTACTCCACCCCCAGCAACCACAGACTCTAGGGTAGCTTTTAAGTCATGTGTCCTAGTCAGTCTTATGCCCAAAGCCTTCATTGGTTCCTGGGAGGTAGTTCAAGGAGTTCGTGGAAACCCATGAAAAGTGGAGGGGTGGGCATTTGGCACACTGCCCATGTTGGAGGGGTGGGCATTTGGCACGGTGGCTACAACGGAGGGGTGGGCATTTGGCACACAGGCTACTATACTGCCTAGGATCCCGGCATCCCCTACTGGCTGCTCTGCTCCCATCTGAAGCAACAGGTGATGGCTCCTGCTGCCCATGGTGCAGGCACCTACCAATCCATCATCTGTCTGTCTGTCTATCTATTTGAAAGGCAGAGCCAGGGACAGAGAAAGGAAGAGAGACATATCTTCCACCTGCTGCTTCACTCCCCAAATGTCCACAACAACTAGGTCTGGGCCAGTCTGATGCCAGGAGCCAGGAACTACAGCCATGTCTTCCACATAGGCACAGGGGCCCAAGCCCTTGGGACATCTTCTGCTTCTTTCATAGGTGCATAAAAAGGGAGCTGGATCAGAAGCAGAGTAGCCAGGACTCAAAACGGCTCTCTGAAATGGGATGCTGGCATTGTAAGCACTTACCCACTCCACCACAAGGCCACCAGAAGTTTTTACTTATTCTTTCAATTCCCCTTTCCATGAACTTTCTGAAGTACCATCCTACCCAGGGCTCCTTTGCAGTCTCCAAAAGCTGGCTTTCACCCCCAAAAGCTGACGAGGGAGGCCACCTGGCAGTCACCAGATCATCCTGTCAGTGCTTGGAGTTTTGAGTGGTTCCCTGAATCAGTGACCAGCCAGAATCTGTTTTAGCAACTTCCAAACCCCCTGCCAGAGACCCCCTTGAAGAACTGAATCAAAGTTATGACTCTTCTTCCTCGAAAACAGCAACGCACAGTTCTGTGAGCAGCCCTTTAGGGAGTGTGGGGTGACAGGGTTAGGAACATCCACTGTGCACCCCCTTAGTCCCTCTCTGGGGCTCCAACCAAGTCACTGACACAGCCGGCTGCTGGAGACAATCCATGAACCTCCCAATGGAGGAACAGGTTCACGTCATCAGGACACGCTGCCGTCAGCAGCAGGTGCACCGCTCTTCCTTGCAAAGTTCCGAGAATGACTGCTCTCTCTCATGGGAAGGCCGCCCGCTTCTCGGAGCCCTGCAAAGCTCATGGAGCCAATCTGGACAAACTTCCCCTTATGAGCATCTATGGGCCCCACCAGGAACAGGTGCAGTGGGGTAGGTCCCACTGCTCCTTCGTGTTACAACCAGCCAAAGCAGCCTTAACTTAGAGAAGAATTCTCCTGTCATTTCAAAAAGGGCACCTGCTTTGATAGCCCTGGGATGCCCAAGAGGATGAAACTGGAAGGCCAGATAGGAATCCTGTCACCCAGTGTTCCGACCCCTCTCCCCGGGACAAACAGCCGCCTGGCTGCAGACGGAGCCACATTACCTTGGTCAGCTGCTGTTCGGAGGAAAACCCCAAACCGAACACGGTGTTGGCCCTGCTGTCGGCCCACTGCCCGAACTTCTGCGATGTCTTGGTGAAGGTCATGTTGGGTGTGATCGTGCTGTTGATGATCACCTGCAGGAGACAGTCACAGTGAGATGGCAGCACACGGCGAGAGGCGGCTTCTGTGACCAGAGCCAGCGCCCCCACCAGTCGGTCCTCTGCTCCATCACAATGGCTCCTGCGTCCTTCTGACATATCCCACACTCGGTGGGAACTAGTGACCTTGGAGATTCCACAGATGACCCATCTAAAGCAAGGTCACCTGCTAGGCATCAAGTAGTTTCCCGAAGCACTGTGTGCTTCTCCACTGTGGCCCTGGCACACATTCTCCGAAGAACTGTTCCTCGTGCCTGTTTTAACCACCCTAAGCCCCAGGGTCCAGCTGAACTTCTTTAAAAGCACTCCAGGCAACCGATGCCTGCTGCTTCCCAGTAGGCCTGGGATCCTTGGTCAATGGGTAGTCTGCAGGTGTGAGCAGCGGTAAGGGAACTGCAGTACAGTGTGGGAGCTTGAGGCAAACTGTCACCTCTCTCCTGAACCCCAGGATAACGGGCAGGAGAGACAGCAGGTCCTGGAGGAGGAGGGCTCCGTGGAACAGGCTGCCTTGCAAAGAGAAGCAAGCAAGGGCTGTGGAGTAGCACATGAGGCCATTGCCTGCACCACCAGAATCCCATATAGAACCACAAAGTACTTTTTAAAAAAAGATGTATTTATTTTTATTGGAAAGTCAGATATACAGAGAGGAGAGACAGACCGAAAGGAAGATCTTCGATCTGATGGGTCACTCCCCAAGCTGCTGCAACAGCCAGAGATGAGCCAATCTGAAGCCAGGAGCCAGGAGCTTCTTCTGGGTCTCCCACGCGGGTGCAGGGTCCCAAATCTTTGGGCCATCCTCGACTATTTGCCCAGGCCACAGGCAGGGTGCTGGATGGGAATCAGGGCCACTGGGATTAGAATCAGCGACTATATGGAATCCTGGCGTGTGCAAGGTGAAGACTTTAACCACTACGCTATTGTGCTGGGCCCCAAAGCACTTCTCTTTCAATTGATAACAGCAGGGTTTCATCAGTTCACGTTTGATTCCCAGCTATTCCACTTCCCATCCTGCCTGTGGCCTGAGAAAGCAGTAGAGGCTGATCCAAAGCCTTGGGACCCCGCACCTGTGTGGGAGACCCAGAAGAAGCTCATGGCTTTGGATTGGCTCAGCTATTGAAGCCACTTGGGGAATAAACCAGTGACCGAAAGACCTTTTCTCTGTCTTTCTCGTAATGCTGCCTTTCGAATAAAATGAAACAAATCTTTTAAAAACAAAGCCCAAGTGATCTGACTGTAAAACCTGCATTCTGAACTTGGTCGCCACGCTGCTTTTTGTACTTGTTGAAGACCACAGCTCCAATCATTGCATGTAGTAGTCTATTTTCAGTGGCTATATCAGAAGATTATCTAGCTTGCCATTGTGGAGACTGAGCCTGGGCAGACCTCTGCTGAGGCTTTCCTAGCCAGGGGACATTGGAGCAACCACATGGGATGACTGTGGTGGCCTTTCATTGCAAGTGACTTAGACGTTAACAACGAAAACGCAGCAATGGGTGGAGGAGGGGGACCGGAATGTACGGGGGGGAGCAAGGCTACAATTCCCAGAAGAGAACACCAAGACAGGAGCTAGCACTCAAGACACGGCAGGTATTGCTGCTGTTTGCAGAACAGCTGGCCTCTGAGGTCTGTGACAGTACGGGGGTCCAGGGCATGCGGGAGATGCACCTGCAATGCCAAGCACCTAACATGGGCAGCAACGACGAGCCCGGCCCGAGCTGGTGCCAGCAGCTCTGTGACGGACACAAGGCGCTGTGATGGCTCAATTAACAAACACTCTGCAAATGGAGTTTCCCACTGATGGGGTTGGCAGTGCTGCCCAGAGACTTGCCATTAATCACACAGCTGCCAGTGGGGACTGCACAGCTCCCGGCAGTGCTCTGAGAAGTTGTGAGCTGGAGGGATGCCTTTCTGGGGCTCCCGTCTGTCCAGGAACACTACTGATCTGGGGTCTGTTTGGAGGGTTTGGTCCTTGGGTGTCCCTCAGTGGTGACCCACTGTGATTCCTACAATGCAGTACACCTGCTGCTGGCCTGCCATCACCCGCTTCAAAGGCCCTGTCCACTTTGGCTTGGGGCTGGGCATCCTAAGACAAGCCAGGCATGGTCCTCCTTGAAGAGGCGGCAGCCCCTCCATACCCCATACCTGCCACTTCCCCCCATCCTACACACACACACACACACCAGGCAAGGGCAACAGACAAGAGCCCGGACAGGAAGCCACTGGCCTCGGCATGGATGCGCAGGGTCAGCTCAGCACACTGCACCCCAAGGCAGTATCAGCAGGTTCACATGTCAGGGGCTGGGGTCGGGTCTCTGCAAGGCGTGGGGAGAGCGAGGTGCAAGGCATGGAACAGCTTGAGCCCTCTGGGGTCATCCACATCTCACAGAGCAACTGGAGGTCCGAGCTCTTGACCTCTGCTGCCCAGTGGGGCCTGAGGAGGGGTAGGGATGGGGACCACGGCTCAGTGCTTTGTGCTCCAGCTCTCTGGAAGCCTGTTCATAGACCCCAACCCCACCCTCCCAGGACCAGTCATGGGAATTAAACAAAGGCCATGTTCCCCCGGCCTTTGCTGACTCTGTTTCATAGAACAAGGTTCTACTGCTGCTGTAAAGTCAGAGTTTGGGAAGGAGCTAGGGAGGGAGTGTGGTTCCAGGAGCACCAGGCACTGGGTACCCAGCAGGAGTACTGAGAGCCCCTGGTATGATGTCTGAATTCGGGGGTGCCATGTGATCATGGCTCCTGATCCCCACTTCTTTTCTACCTTCTCCCCTGAGTCAGCTCCATCATCCCATGCCTGACTTTTCCCCCATGTGGTCACAGTTGATGCTGGAACAAACAACTGACACTTGGCTCAGAGGTCTAAAGCACTCACTCTAAGATAGCCATTTTATGGACACTTAAGCCTGTTACATCCTTGGATGATTTGGCTGACAAAAGCACAAGTCTGTCTGGGGATGACAGAGGGAATTTGAAGGATCCAAGAAGGCTGATGGGCTGGAATCCCAGGCAGCAGCAGAGTCCCAGGGACAGAGTCCAGGAAGGCCCAGCCTGGAAGTGGCAGGGAAGGCGGATTACCACTGTGGCCTCATGGCATCCCCCAGAGGCCCAACACAGGGCCCAGACCTGCCAAGTGCTAGGCACCCTTACGCCTCCCTGCCGCTCACCAAGCCACGGGAGGGAGGCCTGCTCTGAGCTGGTGAGCCACGGGAGGGAGGCCTGCTCTGAGCTGGTGGGCCACGGGAGGGAGGCCTGCTCTGAGCTGGTGGGCCACGGGAGGGAGGCCTGCTCTGAGCTGGTGAGCCACGGGAGGGAGGCCTGCTCTGAACTGGTGAGCCACGGGAGGGAGGCCTGCTCTGAGCTCACCAAGCCACGGGAGGGAGGCCTGCTCTGAGCTGGTGAGCCACGGGAGGGAGGCCTGCTCTGAGCTGGTGAGCCAGGGGCTGCCATCCAAGGACTCAGGTCTTCTGAGCAGCATATACTCAGCTAAGACCCCAGCCACAGAATGAGCCTGTCTGGGCTCCCTTTCTGAGCAGGCACAAGGGTTGTGCTCCTGGACAGAAGACAAAGAGGATCAAGGATCCTATCCCTTTGAACTGCACTCTCCATGGTGCTGAAGTGGGGTTCGCTTTTACAGGCACCTGCTGGCTCCAGTGTTTTACCTAGCAGGGACAAAGCCCATGCTCTGGCCCCATTCTAGTGCCCAGCCCTGACCTCTCCAGCCCCTGTCACCCGGGAAGGCTGATGTGGAGGCAGAGGTCAGCAGAGAACGCATGTGGGAGAGGAAGGAGCAGGTCTAGAGGCTGCTGGGAAGATGCAAGCAGATCCAGAACTATGGTCAGACACACAAGGCATGCAGGGCAGAGTCACTGCATGCACGGAGGAAGCAATGACGCTATGTTTTGTTTTGCTTTAGCCAAAATGACTGAGAAATAAAAATGGAGAGGGGTTTTAGAGGGAGCATGGTGGAAACTGATGTCACAGTGATTTCGGATGACAGAGGACAATCCACGTAGAACCCAGCCGTGGGGTGGGCGCTGTGCAACAGTGGGTTAAGCCACTACTTGCAATGCCAGGAACCCACATGTGAGTGACGGTTTGTACCAGCTGCTCTGTTTCTGATCCAGCTCCTTCCGAATGCACCTGCGAAGGCAGCAGGAGATAGCCCAAGGATGTGGTTGTGGCCAACTACGGAGCGAGTCAGCACATGGAAGATCAATCTCTCTCTTAGCCTCTTCTCTGTCACTCTATCAAATAAATAATTATTTCTTTCTTAAGATTTATTTTATTTGTATTGGAAAAGCAGATATATAGAGAGGAGGATAGACAGAGAGGAAGATCTTCCATCCGATGATTCACTCCCCAAGTGACCACAATGGTTGGTGCTGTGCCAATTCGAAACCAGGAACTTCCTCCAGGTCTCCACACGGGTGCAGGGTCCCAAGATTTTGGGCCGTCCTTGACTGCTTCCCTGGGCCACAAGCAGGGAGCTGGATGGGAAGTGGAGCTGCCGGGATTAGAACTGGCGGCCATATGGAATCCCAGTGTGTTCAAGGCGAGGACTTTAGCCACTAGGCCACTGCATTGGGCCCATAATTATTTCTTAAAACATCCAGCAGGACGAGTGCAGAATAGTGACAGACCAGAGATGAGAAAGCAGCAAGCAGGCCGAGTTCTGTAAGATCCTCTGAGGCTTGGGGTGATTCCTCTTCTTTCTACCCCCACATAACATGGTAAAAAAAAAAAACAAACAAACATTGGGGGAGGATGGCAGAGGAAAAACTGATTTCAGGAAATCCTCTCAAACCACCGGCTGAAAGTAACTCCTGTGTCAAGCAGCAGAGGCAATGCTGGTCAAGGTGTGGCAAACTGGCGCTCTCCTGGCCAGTGGAAGGAGGGACACTTCGGGGAAGCAAATGGTCCACATACATCAGCAGTTACCAAGTGTTCATATCGTCTGTGAATGCCAAGAACAGGGCAGCGTCCAAAGCAAGCTACAGATATGTGAGCAACCACAGAAGATGCTCATTAGCTGTGACAGCACGGCCTTGGAAGCCACTTCCACAGCCAACCATAGGGGAGACATCAGGAGTGCTGTAAGCCTGTAGTGGAACTGTCACACTCAAGCACCAGCTAGGAAGGCTGCTCTTTAGATGAACAAAACAAAGAGAAGGATGGGTGGTGAGACAGGCATTACTGCAATCATACAACCTCTGTTCAGCGGAGGGATCTGGGGGTGCACTTCACCCCCACTTCCTGCCTTTATAAAGGCATGAGATGAAAAGTGAGTGCCTGAGACTTTTGAAAGGCGCCAGTGTACCTTGGCCCCGTCCACGCTGATGATCCGGTAGCTGCTCCTGGTGAGATCATAGAAGTAGGAGACAGTGACCGCCTGCTTGCTCGCAGGCACCCAGTTCTTCTTGGTAGTGGGGTCGATCTGGAAGACATGCGCCCGGGTGGTGAAGATGGGTTGTTCTCTGCAGGAGAAGAGGAGTGTGAGTGGGCGGGACATGACTCTGGGGTCCCCAGGCGGGGGGAAGGGGACCTCTTCTGGGGCATGACACATACATATACATGAGAATAATGAAAGTAAGCCAAGGAGAGAGGGGAGGGAAGAGACGCCAGCCAGAGGCTCTGCACCCCACATCCTGGGCAGCCTGCAGTTGTGGGGCAGCTGGCATCTGCAGCAACCCGCTTCCAGGGCAGCTCACGGGCGCAGTTCTGTTTCATGTCGCCACCAACTTCCTCTTTTCTTCCCGACATGATGTTCAGCACTGGGGACCCACATCACACCAAGGGCTTGGGGAGAGGGGATTCTGTAGCTGTGTGCTGGATACTCTATCAGGGCACTTCAGAGTGTTCAGGCAAAGCTGGCACCACCAGCGCCAAACATTGCAAAACCCAAGCTTAGTTATTTCTTTTTTAAAATGCGCATTAGTTGTGAACCTGCTGGAGACCTCTTGGGTTGCTATTAAGTAATTTTCAGCTACATGGCATTTTGGGGGGGCAGGGGTGATGATAGAACTTCTCTCTCTCCTTTGGTGGAACTCTTTGTTTTATGTTAGTAACCATTTAAGGACTTGACTAACCAAGACTTCCAACTTAGAAACTTTTTGAGCTTTATGGGAAATGCATCAAATCCACCTGCCTGGCTACCTTATCCTCGTGGCTCCTTTTTCACACCACTTTACCTAGGGCTCTTTTCTGTTTAGTGGTGGAATTTCCAAGTCTTGACAACAGAGATTAAGCAGTGAGGCAGGGGACAGCCTTGCTAAGTTAACGTGGCCCAGCCAAGTTACGACGCTGGTTGAGACCCCAGCTTCCCTTACTGGAGCACCTGGTTTAAGTCCCAGCTCCTCTGCGCACACAATTCAGCTCCTTGCTAACAATGTGCTGGCACGCACCGGCTGACAAACCAAGTGCCCGGGTCCCTTACGCCCATGTGGGTGATCTGCATGGAGTCCTAGGCTCCTGGCTTCAGCCTAGCCCAGCTGTGGCTGTTTTGGCCATGTGCGGGATGAACCAGAAAATGAACAATCACCCTCTCTCTCTCTTTTGCTCCCTCTCTGTAACTCTGCCTTTCAAATAAATAAAATATATTTAAAAACACTAAAGCAGATGAATGAAAACTACAACTGTATCTCACTATATTTTTTTTTATCTTGTCGGCCTTCTACTTCACAAAGGAACACAAAACAGTCATTGCACAATATACTTGTTTTTGGAGAAGGGTTTCAGGCAGACTGGCTAAAAAAAAATCCTTAATGTTCAAAATAAGATCAAGTAGAAGAAAAACATACTAACATGTAAATGCTACACATTTAGCATTTAGCACATGTAGCAAGTGCTACATGCTTAGAGACACATAATGTACAAATTTCATTTTGGTTTGGCAAATTCACTTTTTGAATCCTTACAACAAGACAAAACATAAAGTAGAGCACATAAGGACAGTCACGGACGGCCCAAAGCCTTGGGCCCCTGCACCTGCGTGGGAGACCCGGAAGAAACTCCTGTCTCCTGGCATCGGAATGGCTCAGCTCCAGCCACTAAAGCCACTTGGGGAGTGAAACGGCAGATAGAAGATCTTCCTCTCTGTCTCTCTGTAAATCTGTCTTTCCAAACGAAATAAATAAATTAAAAAAAAAAAAGATCAAAAAGGAGACCAAGTGTTGGTGGCACATGGAGTTAAGCCTGCAGTGCTGCATGTCATATTGGATTGCTGGTTTGAGTCCTGACTGCTCTGCTTCCCTTCCTGCTCATGCGACTGGGAGCGAGGTAAAAAAAATGGCCCAGGTGCTTGACCCCTGCATCCATGTGGGAGACTCAGTCCCTGGCTCCTGACTTCTGCCCAGCCCAGTCCCAACAACTGCTGCCATTTGGGAAGTGAACCAGCACGTGAGAGACTGGTTTCTCTGGGAGTCTCCGTCATCACTCTGATTTTCAATTTGCTAAAAGAGCAAACGGGAACTGGGAGGGCTCAATGTTGTAGTCTTGCAGTCTTTAAGCCCAATCTGATCACACTAGAAAGATTTGGAGAGAGACATCTTCATGGAAAAGTAATGCTGCATCTATCTGCAAGACCCCTCGGGGAACAGGCCACAGGGTCAACCGTCAGCAGCCGGCCATGGCCTCGGAGAAACGTGGAGGCTGTCCACGACGCCTTCCAAGGGCGCGCCATCCACACAGCTCCCAGGCGCACAGATATGCTCCCTTGCTGCCCAAAACTTCCCAGGAGCAGAGCAGGTCCCTCATGGGGAAGCGGAGTAGAAATGGTGTTAGCAGGACATTTCCCATCCCCTCAAGTGACCCAGTCCAGTCTCAGCCCTGCACTAACCCTGGCAGCGGCAGGTTGCGGGTGCCGAAGCAGAAAGCGCGTTCTCCCTGCACTTCCCCGCGTCTGCCGCCAGGAGCAACGGAGAACGCATGCAGGAACGTGGGCCCTCGGATCCCATCCACATGGGGAAGCCAGACGTCTGGGCGGCCCAGCTGGGCCTGGGTTCCGCTCAGCATCTTTCGCTAATACCACGCCACCGCACAGGAAAACACTTCCTCATGCGGCTCCTCCTGCATATGCAAGAGGAAGCGCAGAAAGGGCAAGAATCATGAACGGCTTCTGGAACATCAAATGACATTGACATCTCTGCCTTGCTTTCTCCCAGAGCACTGACCAAGCAGGCCAGACTGGGGGCCGAGCCCTCCTCAGGAGGGGACCAGGTTTTCTCCCCCGACCCTGGAGAGGGTTTGGGGATAGAGGGGATGAGACATATGCATAGAGATCCTCCTTGGCTGCAAGGCCAAGGAGCTGGGAGCTCTACCCAGGTCTCCCACGTGAGTGCCGCGGCCCAAGCGCTTGGGACCCTCCTCTGCTGCTTCTCCAGGTGCGAGAGGGAGCTGGATCACAAGTGGAGCGCCAGGATTCGAACTGGTGCTTCCCTCTTGGTCCCTCCCAGGACCTGGCTCTCCAAGGGTAGGAGGCTGGGCGCTTTGCAGATGACCAGAGCATTTGCTGAGTTTTGCCCCCAGAGAACCTGGGGAGCCACTTGCCTGAGACCTTTTCAGAGGAGCTGGGCCAAGATGCAAGAAGTGGCCCTGCCTGCCAGCCCCTGGCCTCCACAGTGACACAGCTGACTTGAGTGTCGTGCAAAGGCTCCAGGAAGTACTAACATGGGACATGTCGGGGTTGGGGAAGGGCCTGGCCACAGTACCAAGAACAGGATCTCTGGGTGCACATGGCAGGGGGAGGATACAGGGAGACAGGGGGAGATGTGGCTGGGAAGGGAAAGGAAAGATGGAGGGCAGTGAGCAGTGGCCCTGGGGATCACTCTGTGTCCCCGAGACCCACAGCAGTGACAAAGCGAGCGAAGCCAGGTGCTGAAGACATGGAGCAGGAGGGATGAGAACATGGTGGGGCACCCTGAGCAGCCTCAGGGCAGGGCATGCTCACACACAGCCAGTCACACCTTGCCCTGCCCTTAGGACCCTAACCAGAAAGGCAGAATGTGGGAGGGCACGGTGGGCCCTGTGGCCTGTGGCCAGGCCCTCCACGGGGCAGTGGCTGTGCTCAGCCTGTGGGAGGCGCTGCAGGGAGTCCCCAGAAGTCCTCTTTGTGCATGGGCACTGGGGAGAGGGTGAGAAAAGTAACTGCCCTTCAGTGACCGGAGATACCTGTGGAGGGACCCTCATAGGCACTCCAGCAGGAAGCTGGGGTCCAGGACCACTAAGCCCACGTGGACAGCTACTGGGGGCCTTGTACTGTGTTCTAGAACTCAAAAACTCTGCTGGTATTTCAAGAAAAAGCAAAACAGATGAGGATGAGAAGGCACGCAGGGCAGTGACATTTACAGAGGGCTTCACCGTTCTAAGCGTGACCTGTGATCACTCACACTGCTGCAGTCCCACGGGGAAAGGGAAACAGGGGGCCCAAGGAGGCCAGGGAGCCTGCCTTGGCTCACAGATGCAGTGGCAGATCTGAGAGGGGAGGTGACACCGAAAGTGACTGGGAAAGCCTCCTTCTTCACCACCCTCTCCCCCAAACTGGTAGCTGTCTGCAGGGGGCAGTACCTGCCATGGCTCCCAGGGAGCCTAGTCTCCCTGTGTCCAGGACCCTAGCCCACCTCTGTCCCCACTGGGTCTGGCAGGACTTGTGACATCATCTGAGTGATCACAGTCTCATAGGATTGGGGCTCGCAGGTCTTCCAGCCTACTCCCTCCAACTTTCTCTTGCCAATTCTAAGAGAACTCACATGGCGAGGAATTGAGAGGACTCCAGACAACGGGGAGGCTCTTAGCCCAACACCCCAGGGGGGACTCCACCTTGACCACAGCCTTTGTGTAGGACCAAAGTCACCCCAGCCCATCACTGAGCACAGGGCCTGGCTTTGCTTTTTGCTGCCAGAAGAGCACACGGCCATGGAGAACATGCAGAGTTTACTGCACCCCAAAAGGCAGGTGCATCCCAAGCAGGTGCACCCCAGGCAGGTGCATCCAGGTAGGCACACCCCAACTAGGTGCTCCCCAGGCAGAATTCTTTATTCTTCTTCACAGGGAGGCCAGTAAAGCAGCCAGTGTTATCCATTTAGGAAAGTGAGATTCACAGGCATGAGTTTAGGCACCCCAGACACACACACACACACACACGAGAGACATCTTTCTGGGCCAGTCCGGATCCTTTCCAAACCTCACCACCAAAGTCCGCTTCATCAAGGGCCCAGCTTTGAAAGAGTAAGTTGGCTGCTCCCAGGAAAGTCAAGCTGGAATTAGGACACAGCTCCTGCAGGTGTGCGCTCCAGCAAAAATAGCAAGGTTCCAGGCAGTGAGCACTTGGCTGCCCACGAGGCTGCGGTGCCCTCCCAGCAGGGCGAAGCTGGTGCGAGTACGCATCAGAGAACTGTAACTACCTTCCCAGCCAATTTTAACCTCCTTTCTTCAACGCTCGGGAAGGGGATTTCAGATCGACTCCCATCCCTTCTGCCAG